AGTGAGTCTTATAGCCTGATAGCAATACTTTTAAAACTTTATTTTTGCTCTTGCATCACTTAAAGCAGGTTAATCACAAAGGCATGTACTTTATGAAACATAGCTGTAAGCTGCTAAATGTTTGTTCTACAATTTTTACATTTATCTTAGGCCTGTGCATAATGATGTGCCTCTTTAAAAGCTTATTAACAAAAAATTCTTTAGTGGTAATGATCAATTTCTTACCAAGCTTTAGTGATTAAGGAAAAATTTATGGAAAGATGCGTTGCTATCCTTCGAAAAGTGAAGTTGCGCACTATTTAACCATGAGTTCTTAAAACTGACAAGATTTAGGTCTAAAACAGGCTTCTCCTATGTTGATACATAAGTGCAAAGGTGACAGTTTAGGTTTGCTTCCAAAATTTTCGACAGAATTCTTCATTTAAAACTTACATTTTACTTGGACTTTATTAAGAGTCTCGCCTTTTTGCCACCTTTCAAGATGGCACCCGTAAATAAATTTGCCTCACCATGACAACGGCAGTTAGATACAAACAGTTCCGCACAAAAAAAATGGCGACATAAAAACTGCAGCTTTTTAGAAGTGACAATAAAAAGAATATCAAACAGCAAGTGACTTTCTATCTAATTTGAAAATTTTTTGACCTTCCTTGAGGTGTCCAACGAAACTCATTTTTAAAGCATATTTTTGAGGCACAGATCACGGACTATAAGGTCAAATAGTTGGAGCGCTACTGAATAACACAAATATAGCATAATGCTATTTTCTGTGTTTCTTAATAACATTGCGACTATTTAACTTTATGTTTATCGTCATATTGGCAAGTGGAATGCTTATGAAAATCTACGTTAACATCAGTATAAGATTCATTTTTTTTCAGTATGAAGCGGGATTCTTTCACTGAAGGGCAATCATGTATTGCCTAACATTAACATCGGTATATGTTACTGTATACTTAATATTGAATTCGAAACAAAAATGAACAAGAATATTCAGTTGATTAATCTCTGATAAACCTTTCACCTTTACTTGTCACAAGGTCCAGACTTAAAGCGCAAAGCTCTCTACATTTTAGTTGACTCTTCGCGTTCACAAGGAAGAGGAGTAGAAGGTTAAAACACAAATGTTGTGAGATAAGGTAGTTATTGTAAAATGGATAATGTTGTTGATGTGAAAATGAAACTGTCGAGAACTATAATAAAAATGAACGACAGTCTTCAAATACAAAGACAAACAAATATATTTTTGTCTTCGAAGTTTTCTTCTCAAGATGTGATTTCAAAATCCAAAAAACTATCTAATAAAACCGATGACAATTTAGCTAGTTTGGTCATAGACACGTTTTTATTCTCAAAAATGATTTCTTTTACTAGGAATCAATGTAATATGTCTACAATCAACGAACACGTCATCCAAACTCACCGTTTTTTATTGAAGACGATTGTCAACGATAAATATTGTTCGTGTTTTATTCACGCTATGCTTCTTGTACAGGAAAGATGCTCGTTGTTGTTGTTGACAGTTCTAGACTTCAGACAAACATTCCACGAAGGTAAACTTCATAACCAACTATCAGGTCTGTATGGGATAATTTGAACTGCGCAATAGCTTTATAATTAGGTTGTTATGTACAGTGCTGCCACTCTAATATTTCAAATTTCACTACGTGATGGAATTTAACTACTTGGGTGCTTTTCACTCAGTGATTTCACAAAACACGACAGGATTACATTACAGGATTACTATTTTGTTATAACTACACGCAAATAATGTCGTTTTTAGGAAGTAATAAAATGCTAGTAATTTTCAACCGCAAAACAAAGTAATAATTCATTTACTTAGAGAGAATGACATAAATAAATGGAACATAGAACGATAATATCCAAAATATGGTAAAAAAAAATTCCGAAGAAAGTGATGGCTGGACATTATTGTCGGCTGGAATCGGTTAAATTGTCGGCTGGACATGGTTTTTGATAGTATCCAAGACCTGGTTGTCTGCGGTATGTATTGGATTACCCTTCGCTCAGGCTGCACGGTTTACATAATCTGCTTTTTTCCATACTTTAAAATGTACAATCTACACTAAAATTTGTTACTTTTGATGGTAGCACCAAATTTATATTATAATTTCCGATAACTTAACAATCTCAGTGAGCAACATACAGTTTCAGCCTTTATTTCAACATAGAACAAAGCTTTTCGTGTCGTAGGAAACTAGTTATTTTGTGCGAGAATGGTTTTTAGAAACTATAGTCAAGCTGTAGTAGAAAACTATACGACATAATAACACACACACTCTGGCTTAGCTATTTCGCGTCTTTTCAGTCTTAAATGTGAAAAGTAATTTTCCGCCATCCGTTTTCCGCTTTAATTCATCACTTTTACGGCAGCGTGCACGTGTATCTATGACGTCATTAAAAGTGTAAGCAAAGTCAAAGTTCGGAAATAGAAACCTTCTTACATTATGATGCAATAGTAAAAAGATATTGTGGCTCAGGAAAGGATTAGGAAACATTAAAAAGGATTCTTAGCCATTATCCAAATATGCTTAGAAAAAATACGCAAAACAATCCCATAAAATTATCGTAATGCTGGAGCCGCGCGTCGCGCTAAAAATGAGCTTAAGCGCTATAGAGATGTCCATTTACGGAGAATGTACTTAGGTTTGATGCTTACCTTTTCTTGCAACGCATTTGCTTACTAAAGATTATCGAGACATGATGTACACCATTTCCTGTCTAGAAAAGTCTATTTTCTCTCTACTTTTGCCAAGAACTATTTTAAACACGCTTATTTTATATCTTTGTATTTTGAAATAGCGTTCCCATTGAAAGAAACAGTGAGAGGACTCGTGTAGAAATTATTGAAGGTTTCTTCAACAGTTGAATTTATGTAATTTCATACCAAATAAGCTGCGTGTCATCTAAAACCTTTGTACTTAGCCGTAATTTTTAATTACTTGAAGACAGCTATAGCAATCATTCATTTTTACCGTTTGTAATGTACATAGTTACAAACATAGAATAGGCATTAGACACATGTACTAAGCAAGACTATATTTATGATACTCCAATGAGGGATGATAATTGACAAGATATCTCACAATTCATCGTGAGGGAATTTTTTAAGTCGTTTTCCGTTATCATGTTGAAATTATCATTCAATGGCACATCGTTGATAATATCTTGCGTCTGGCAAATTTTTTTCCTTATCAAATTCTTCACAATTTTTTTTTACGCACAGAGCCGAGAAAATACCTGTACTGGTGTCAAATAACCGGGAAAAAAAAGCGAACCTATTAAGGTCGGTCATTAAACTGTTGTTTGACAGTTTATGAAAGATAAAATAAGATTATAGGAGAACTAAAGTCTGAAAACACAACAACGAAGGGCTTGATTATGTGGAGGTGAGCTGGACCGGATAGCGAATAGCCTCAGACAGTATATAAACTACATTATTACATTAACACATAATTACATGACAGCGCATTACAATATATAAAAAAGTTAAGTGTGAATAATGTGGCCGACATAATGCACTGCATTATGTCGATAAAAGCTTTCTCGTCCAGCGGGCTAACTCGCCTTCTTATATAATCAGGCTCTAAGTGTTTTCACTTCGCCGCTATTTGCTTGCGTGCTGCTATTACGAGACTGTGTACGACGAAGCTTAATATATTGTCCAAACTTTGACATTGTTAACATTTTCAATGACGTTATAGGCACTAAAAGTGGTGAATTAAAAAAAAACATCAAGGACAAATCAAATCTAAAGTTCGTTTTTCGCGTGTCCATTTAATTTAGTTCAATGGCGCGGAGAGACATGCACAAGTGCACCTGTTTACGACTGTCCACGACGAGTATTTCTCAGAATGCTCACAGAATAGTATTCTGCAATAGACGTTTCATAAAAGACATTCTAAAATCTATTACGTGCTGTTGACATAAGAGAGTAAGTTTGTTTATATTTCTTTAAGCACATTATGGCTAATGTATCTTATAATTTGCATCATACGAATTTTTGTAAAGCTATTTGTTGTGGGAAATCATGCCAACGTGAGGTTTATATTAAATACAATAGATACAAACATCTTAACTATGGATATCATCACCGTTGTACTGTCTCAATCACCTCGATTATTACAATACATTGATGGCATCATTAAGGGCTCTTTTCCCCTCATCGCAAAATGCTCTCGCTGCGAGCTTGCGAGTCTGTTAATTTAGTTGAACAAAAAAATTTGTTCAACTAATTTAACTATGCTGCCATTCATTGTCAGCTCGCTGCGAGTAACTCGCAGGCACTCGCAGGCACTCGCAGTGAGCTTGCGAGTACGTTTTGCGATGAGTGGAAAAGAGCCTTAAGTCAGTTAAAAGTTGAAATATGTCACAACTGCATAGTTGATGCAGGAGTGCTCAGAAGTGTGCTCTGAAGAGTGCATCCTTTATATGGTCAACTATTTTTCTAACTTGGACGAGTCATTGCAATACGTCACTGCAATTTGCTTTCTTGGAAGAAGCCAATCACTAATCTTTTATAAGTTATAACATATTTGTGAAAGTGCAAAACTAGGGTATGTGACAACAGAAAATATGTCTCATAGTAATACATTTAACAAGAATACATTGATTGCCTTGTGTTAAGGGATTTGAAAGAAACATCGGCTTTGGCTCTTAAATTTTAACAAAATTAAATGCTGAATCTGGCCATTTCATTGCTTCATATGATTTTGACAGGATTGTGGGATTAACTAATATGGCCAAGGGCATTTTCAGTCATTGAATATTCAATAAAATGTTTTTTCTGCTTTACTTACAGGAACAAGTTTTATCAGCAGTTTCCTAATTTGTGGTAATTTGTCAGCTCAAAAGGTAAGTGATGCAGTGCATCTTTTGTTTTTCTATGTTTATCTCAATTCAACCATTTTATTAGTTCCATCCTTAGTGTATGTATTCCTAAACTTCTAAAACTCAATTTTCCCCCTACCCTGTTTTAAAACTCAATCTTTGCTTTCCTTGAACCCAACCCTAATCTTATAGCTACCCTGGGTGGATCCATTTCCTTATCTGACTTTGGCATTTTGAGTCGTGAACAGGTGAGCCACTATAAAGGGTTGTTTGGGGACATGCGTACTACCAAAGATAGTATTTGGTACTACCCCAGATAGTATTTGAAATTTTGACTCTTGGCAGAGATATTGTCTGCATTTTGAAGGTTTTATTTAGAAAAATCTTGGCCGTACCTAGGCTCAATAAATGAATTCATGAACTTTTCCCAGTTTTCATTTTATTGTGAAAAATAATTCTCTTCTTTGGATATCTCTGGACAGAGAAAGCTTTATTTATGCTCTATCTTTGCATTGTTGCAACTCACAGAAAAATCATGTTAAGTCTTCTGTTTTTACTCAAGATGTTGTACACATTGTGACATTAAACAAGCTAGAAGGTGATGCTTATACAGGTTTTCGATGAAAGCAATGAGTTCTGTGTTATACATGTAATTTATTAAAGTAAAAACTAGCATAACAACAAACCATATATTTAATTTTTGCTTCAGGACACAAACTTTATAGTACTTTCATAATTCTTATCATCAAAAACAGAAGTATTTGAATAACATGATAAAGATGCAATTTTATAAAAGTACTTATATTGCCTTTGCAATGCCATGTTAATTTCATAAATTTTACTGAATTATTGATTTAAAGCTCTTCAATACATACAACACAATTTGCAAGCAAAGCAATGCAATATATCCAAAATATGCAGTGTCTGTTTTGGCAAAAACAAACAATCAATTGGAAATGTATTCTTCCTCTGGGACTCGTTGAGCACATTTCTTCTTATGAAGTATTATATACAAAGACACAATAATTTGTCTCCAACGTCCAAAATTCTACATCTTTTTGTGTCATCTTTATGATTTTATCTCATCTTGTATAATGCATTCATAATGATTCCACTGCTTTTTTTGACCTCTTTGGAAACTGCAATACTATCAAAATGCTTAAATATATCTTTTATGTGAATAAGATAGCTTTTTTATGCATAAATGATTATATTAAGAAATGTTGTTTGTCATTAAATGATCATAGTTACGTAGTTAATTGAGTATTAAGTTTGTAAAAACAATTTATAAACAAATAAAAATGTGAAAAATGGTTTTACTATTTCAAATTATTTTATTACGGTAGATTTAATTTACATATTAACTGCATCTGTTTTCTCTCTTCTGCAGAGGTTTTTGAAGTAACCTGTCATTTCTGATCATTACAACGTTATCATCAACTAATCTGCTAACGTTGAAGTGCTTCATTTTTACTGGCAACTATGGGATGTTGCATTTTCTTTTGGGTTTGTTACTAAATTAAGCAGGGGGGGCTAATAATATTCATAAATGCACATACTTTGTATTGTTTTGTATTGAAATCAATCATTATTACAGATTGTACAATATTAATATTTAGATATAGCGCCCTTATTTATCAAGCTTTGGCCGCCCTTGTATTGAAGATACTTGTATCTTCTGAACTACAATCTTCTGTTTTGTTCGTTGATGCTCTATTTCATTATGTTTCTATTGAATACAGTACCTGGTATGCTTCATTTAATGTTTGTTGTTTGTTTTATTCACATAATCAGTTGTACAAAGTTATAAGCCTAAGCAATATTTTGTATTGGTCTCTGCCCAAAGATAAATCTATTTCCATTGGTGCACCCCAGTACAGATGATGTAATATGATGATCACAGTATTCGCAACTCCCATTTCTATTATGCTAATTGCCCATAACATAATACTTACAATAATTAGGCACTTTGAAATGCACGATGGTTGATATAATTTTCAAAGTCTACTGTTCCTGCAGTAGGTAATACAGGTTGGTGATGGTAAATGAAAATTTCGCAGCATCTGCCTATCCACGTGGATTGGGCATGCCATGAAACTTCAAGCATGAGAGTAAAAAATTCTGAAGATTCCATTTCATAATATATTTCATAAAAGTATTGAAATGGCGTGTTTAATATGCAAGAAAACATTTTGTTTGAATATTATAGCTAAAATTTTAAAACATAGTAAATGTCAACCACCAGTTTTCATCGTCTTGTTTATTAGCCTGCGATAAAAAAGGGCACATTAATTCCGATACTTGTTTAAAATATTTGATACAAAGGGTGGAGGAAAAATCACGAACATTTTGTGTAAATCTTAGTGGATTATGCGACTTATTGATCTGTTTACTATACACAGTTCATGGAAGACGGCGAATGTTCTCGAATGTTCTCTAGCTTATCTACACTGTAGAGATTAGAATGCAACCTCGCTGGTGCTCGTTTGAAATGAATAATATCCATATTTCATGTGGATTGTTCCAAAAGCGAATGTTCGACGAAATTTGAGCACCATTGGTTGCACTTCCTTGATTTGGGTGAAGAATAATTGTTGCCTGCTGCGATTTTTTATGAGTATTTTTCGGCAATATTTTTCATTCCATAAACTCTAACTATATTTTCGATCTAAAATAAGTGTTGCCAAATGAAATTTAAAACTATAAAAGCAGGTACGGTGTGTACATGTGGATAGTGTGGTAAATGTGTTGTCACAAAATGAACATAATTCAAAAAGTAATACATATTTAAGTAATTTACATCAAACTTTAAAAACTGCTTAAGTTTTCAAAAATGTGCTTCATGCGTACTGTTTGCTGTAGCACGCATCATAGACTTGCCGAATGTCTACACTTTGCTTGTCACGTCAAATCATAGACTCGATAAATCTAAACGCACATGACTTGTAATGATTTTACATGGAAGCGTCATTGGTATTTCTATTTTGGAGAAACGGTAGTGTACTTTTGTTATTTTTTTAATAATATTTTGAAAATACTAAATTTCTGACGATTTTCGCACATTGCAAGGGAGTGGGAGTATATCATTGTGTACAATGTATTTTCTGCTCATTTCTGAAATGTATCATATAACTTGTCTGATTTTTAATGTCATTCTAACATTTAAATCAGGGCGGATCTAGGGTTATGTCAAATCAGTCTCGCGACTGATGTTTATAGTTCAGAAATTACTTATCAAATTTAATGATTACAACTTTTTGCGATCATTAAATTTCTGATGTATAATCGTTTGAATTTCATTGTCAAAATTCTGTTTTATATCTGAAATCTTACGTAAATATCACGTTAGCAAACAGATCACTAGATTTTAACATATCTGGAATTATATTAACTGACCGATAAGCGTGGTGGCTCGACTGGTTCGACCGATAACGGAGTTCAAGAACGGCTAATTTAAGCCATTCCATTGGTCAATAGCCAGATCAGTAGACGATCTGGAATAATATCGATCGATAAGAGGAGTGGTCGGACCGATAAGAGTGTCTAATTGCTCTCGTGTAATTGGTTCGTTTAAGGTTTTATCTTACTGTGTAATTGGTTTGACCGATTTTGACTGATAGCCAACTGAGGTAACATTGTCATGCTTACTGTCTGAATTAGTGTTGCCAAATCGTGAACACTGTTCACAGATTTGTGAACTTTTTGCTCTCTTCATGAACATTTCATGAATGTTAAAAGTTTGTAAACTTTTTGTGAACTTTTCTAAATATTACGTATTTTTGTATTTTCATCATTTTCATAAAGAATGTATAGACAAATTATAGTTCAATGAAAAAAAAATCTTCATAGGTCGACAGTTCTTTCAAAACAACGACGATTTTAAGATAATCCGATGTTTTTCGAATATTTCCGAGGGTTTTCGAAAATGTCCGAAGTGTTCCGAAAATGTCCGAGTTAATCCGTTAACTTCCGATTTTGCGATTTTTTTCAAGAGGGTGAAAAATTTATGAATGAATTGTAAATGTTCGGGCAAAGACGCGAGAGACATTTCAATCATTGATGTTCAAAAGCAAGCCATCATTTTGTTAGAGATTTCTCAGCAGAAATTTACATCCAAAATCGTAAGTAAAGGACAACTGAAGTGTATGCATGAATGTAAAATATCAAAGTCAATTTATGCGAGTGTGTGATGCGAATTATGTCAATATGGCGTATGGTAAGCAGATTGATGCTTCTAAAATTGTTGTTGCCGAAGGACTTTTAGCTATGATTTCCTTAGCGCTTGGGGAATGTTGGCCGTTATATGGCCAAGTATTTCAATGGAAAAAATCTGTAGCCATAAGGTGCCATGTTATTATTTACCTTATTATAAACAAATGTTTTGGGCTTTTCAGTTTATGATCATTGATCATTCAATCATTGGACAATTATACTACACATTGTTTAAGATTTGAGAAAACTAACATTGATTATATGAGAAGCTGTTTACTATAACCTGTGATTTTGACTCTTCTGATCCATGAAGCTTTTTATTTTGACAATTTGACTGGGATAGTATTAAACCTGAGCTATTTCACATACATGAAATGTTGTCCCATGTCACATAATGTCCCCTTTTCTAACTGAACACCTCATGTAGAGATGTCAAGGTGTGTTGATCTACGGCTCATACCAGATTGTTTGCCATAATTCCTAAGGGCTATTGATTTATGAAAAACATTTTCTATAAAGTAAAGATGTGTTCCTAGGTATGCAGATAAGCCTTGAAATTTGGCAAAACAGCCAAGTATTTTTCATGATCACTAGGTAATTTTTCTGATGATCATTATAATTTTTAAACTAAATTATTTTAGATGTACATTTTAACTAGTTTTGATTCTATGAAAAGATATTTATCATAGCCAGTAAGCTTGACACATGAACCAAATTTAACATTCATGTAATTACATGATTAAAGACATGCTGGTTACATTATGTTTTTTTAGCAAGTACAATGCTACTGGTAATTGCTATATAGCACAACTTGCATGGACTTACAGAAGATAATAGTCTACTGAAAGGCTTCATAAACTTTAATGGCATTAAGCTGTCCTTAATTGCAAAATTTCCTCTCTGATACTTATTGTTTAATCTTTGGCAGAAAAAAATTTTGAATTTTTTCTCAAAAGGTGAATTTTCTGCCACTGTAAGTGGAAATGGGTTAAGGGTTCAATAAACTTGCATGGTTTGAAGTCTGAGCTTTTTTACATTCATGGACTGTCCCTTGTAGTACCTCATTTCTAACTTAAATCATTACGTAGAGGTGTGAATGGGGGTTACTAGGGGGGTCTATGCCTGACAATTTGGTAGAAATTTTTAAAGACTATCTCTGTTTTGAAATAGCATTGTTGTAAAGTAAATTTTATGCTCCTAAGCATGCTAATGAGCCTTAACATTTGGCAAAACATTCAAGTATGGTTCACTTTACAGTTATTTTTTTAGAAAAAAACAATGTCCACAAAAAGCATTTTGTATTGCTCTAAAATGCTGAAAATGGCATTCCCAAGGCTTTGAAATTCAAAATTTCTCACTCTTCCTAGCGTTGGCTACTCGTTGTACTAATTTTCCTGTAAAGTATTAATACACAAAGGAATTGAGAAAAAAGCAATTATGATTTGTGTTCTGTGGAGCACACTTCAAAATATTTCCCACTAGGCTACCTATGCTATAAGTAACAGAATTTAACATAAAAGCCCATCATGACACAATGACATCCAAAACGTCTTATCAAAATCAAAGCACCCATGTCCCCCATAAAATCATTCTTGATCCATCCCTGTCTTGAAGTGAATGCACTAAATTTATCCCCAGTTTCACATTTCACATTTTGTGTATTTTTTAAGGTGCAAAGAAAGATTGATTCCTTCTGTGTTCTAACTCAATCACTAAACTTGTAAGATACAGGGCCAGGACTCAAGTGGTAAGTTACCTTTTCTATTCTATGCATACTATTAAGTCAAGTTAATCTTGCAATAGAATGGATAAAACATCACCCAGATTGTAAAAAATTGAATGCATGATTAGGCACCATACCACTATCATACATAAGTCTACATACGTAAAATATGCTGGCATTGGCTTGATTTGTGAGCAACAAAATTTTATTCATGACCATGGTATCAGGGTGTCTGTACAGAGAACATGTTCATTTGAAATGTGGGTGTCCATCTATTATAGGAAAAACACCTGCACTTTTAGCTTCTTGCTTTTAAGGTAAAGGATGTTTGAATGCCATGTATTTACAGGCATCATGGTGAAAACCATTACATAATTTATTTGTTTCGTGTGTTCATCCTTAAAATGGACATTAATGCCACAGAATATTTACATACAGGTCATTTCTAGTGATTTTTGTGATTTGCATTTGTCAAGGGCAATTTTCTTTGCTGAGTGTCAATGAATCATGTACAGTGTTAACATAAAAGTCACTCAAAGTTAAATTGAGATAATTGAATGTAACTATAGCAGAAGATAGTCAGTATTAACCAGTCAACCAACAATCAAACAAACCATGACTTTCCATTTAAACTGTAACCAAAGGTAGGGGGATGGGTGGCTATGGAGGTTGCAGCCCCAGAAATTATTAAGATGGAGGGTCCAAGTTCCCCCTCCCATTATTCAATTATTCATTGTTACAAAGGGCTTTTCAACGTTTTTTTTCTGAAATAAGTTCCTTTTCGATAATGGAAAACAATTAACATGTAAATGGCCTCTCATACTGTCTGTCTCTTTCATACAGGATGACCTAATGAAGCGGAAACTTTGCTTAATAGTCTGAATGCCAAGCGCCTGCTACGACGTTTCTTGTTGTTTGCTACACCGCTCTACGCAAAATGTCTTCCGCTATCACAGACAGTGACAGCAAAAGCTCTTATTGTTGGTACAACAGCGTTAAGAAAGTGGAAAAAGCAAAAAAAATCAAGGCATTTAAACATATTTTAAAATCCTGATCACGTAAGGTGCATTTGCCCAAAAGTCTTTCTTATTTTTCAATAAACTGCAGGTGGTTTTCCCTTTTCTTCGGTATTTAAAGAAACGTGGTGTTTGTGTTTATTTTTCGGTATGCTAGTTACGTGTTTTAACCTTTTTTTTCTTTGAAAACAAATTTTGACTTTGTTAACGATGCCTGGAATCAAGATCCGTGATGAAGATCGAGAAAAAATCCCTGCAAAGTATATTTGTACTTACTGTCATCACCATCTCATCAATCCAATGCAGACCATGTGTGGGCATTTGTTTTGTAAATCTTGTATTGACATTATTCTTGGATAACGTCATTTTTTATGGAACAAATCATTTATAAAAAGTTATAGTAGTTATCATACATGCTCTTTCAATAGACGCCCTGATTATGCATCCCAATATCGTATCACATATCCCAAACTATTCCTGCGTATCATCTTGTTCAATTAAGTCGGTGCCTAGCTGGTAGGGCGTCAAAATTGTTTGTTAGATCTCTTGATACGACTTCGGTTAAAAACTGTTGCGTAGGAGACTAGGGAGAGCTCATCATACTCATATTTTTACAATCCTAAATAACAGCTGCTTTCCTACGAACGTAATTTATCAGAACATTCATGTACAAATACTGACCACCGCCCCCCCTATTTAACTGTCGAACTGGTTACGCCATCCACTCTTCGAAATGGATCATTCTTGTTAGTAGTTTTTGTCTTTTTTCAATCTGTAGAAATCCTGATCCAAAATGTCCTGAAGATAAAGAAAATTTGACCAAGGAAAACGTAGGTGGAAATATTGCAAAGATTTGACAGAAAATTCAATTACAGTTTTGTTGCTATCGATCATTAGCGTAGCCATCCCGCAAGTGTAGTCCTGCTTTGTAAATTTTAGTACATAATATTTTCCATATTACAGGGTTGTCAGTTAATGAGCAAAGAAAAATTAGCATAGCACGACTAAATAAGCATGTTGGCTTAAGAACTATAATTATAATTACTTTTTGAGTTCTAAAAAGTATACAACGATTTACGTATATTGTCGTGTCTTGTGACATAGAAAATCCTTTTGCAACTTGGGTTATCAAAGCAACGTGCAAACGTTCTCAATATGTTGACTCAACATGCGCTAAACATTGTTTTGTGTTTGATGAGTGATGCTAAACGATGTGTGCAAACGCTCTCAACATGTTGAGTCTTGAAATGATATCGCGTAGGATCATGAGATAAAATACTCCACCATGCCAGCAAAAGCGTATATACAGGTACATAAACGGTTCAGTGACCAGGTAAATAACAACAATATAAGCTGCACAGGTCGTGTTCATGCTTTCGCTCAACATGTTGAGTGTGCTGTTTTAAAAACCAGAAGTTTCATTGCACTATAAACAAAGTTTAGGTGAGGTTTGGTGACCATGGAACAAAGCAAATGTTGAGTGCTGTTGAATGGAAATTTTGAGCAAGCTCAAACTTCACTCAACAACGCGCAACCCCGCTTAATAGCTACTACTCAACTCTCCTAAACACGGTGTTGAATATGTTGAGTTCGTTGTTGAGTCTACATGTTGAGAGCCTTTGCACTTAGCGTTAGTGCGTCGGTGAATTTTACTTCAAAAAAGTTTGCAAACAGTTCTTATAAGAAATTTACGTTACTACTTCATTTAACGTCTAGTGCTAACTTGCATTTGAGTGAAGTGACTCTGTGTTTTGCTACATTTAATCTTGTTTCATGAAAGATCAATTTCCATGGATCCATCTAGGTTTTCCCGGATGCTTTTACGAAGCGTGAGTTAAGAAGGATTTAATTACATTGTCCCTCTGAAGAGTGTAAATGGTTTGGTACACACGAAGAATTGGAAGTGAGTTGCGTTAAGAAATTTATCAAAATATTGTTGTCCTACTTATTAAGTTTCTTTTTTGCCAGGCTCATTCTGAAGTTTGTGAGCATGCGCTCATCAGCTGTATCCACAAGCAATGTAACATTCAGTTACCTCGCTCTCTTCTTGGTGAACATTTGAAGAATGAATGTGAATATCGAAATGTGAAATGTGAACATGCTCCAATGCTGTATCTTGATTATACAACTTATCATCTGATGTGTTCTTACTTGGCAAAAAGAATCAACTCCTTTTTAACGCCTTTTAAGAAATTAGATTGAACTTTATATCCACCAAACAGTCGTTACCTTGTATTATTTTTTTGTCATGTAGGATCACAAAGAAAATGTGTGTGAAAATGCACTCATCACTTGTAAATATTGCAATCAAATAATACCAAGGAAGGATATTGAGCACCATGAAAGTATAGTTTGTGATGAGGTGCCCACTGACTGTGAATTTCAAGCTATTGGATGTAATCATGACAAAGTAAGAATGTTTGAACTATTTTACAATTTCATGTCTGCAACGATGAAACGTATCTGCAAAATTCTTTAACCAAAAACTAAATTTTATTGAAAGTTCCAAAGAATGTAACATTAACTTTTCATGAAATTGATATGGTTTTTGACAAATCATTTATACCTGCTCAGGTATTAAAAAAGCGGTTTCTCTTGAACCCTTGCCCTCATCCGTTTTTCGAGGTTGAATTTTCTGTTTCTTTTTTTTTGTTGTTGTCCAGTTGAAAGATGTAATTTTTCGTTTATTCTCCAACTATTTTGATGATTAAACGTTTTGAGGGAAAAGGATTAATAAGGGTACATGACATCGTTATCGTGTTTAGATTGAAATATCTGGCAGTGAATTATTTTGTTATAAGAATATCTTTTCACTGTTGTTTATGTTTTTCTTGTACAGACTTTAAAACAAAAGGAGATCCGACAACATTTGAACGACAATGTAATTGATCATTTGAGCCTCTTGTTACGATATGTTATGGCATTTGTTACACAGTTAAGTAACTATGTACCACGTCCACAGTTTACCACTGCTGTTCAAAACTTGGGTGACCGAATCACAGCTGTTCGTTCTAATCTCTCAGAAAAATTTGTGATGCTAGAAGGAACACTTACATACCTGGAAAGGAGGATTGAGAGTCAGGAAAGGAGGATTGAGAGTCAAGAAAGGAGGATTGAGAGTCAGGAAAGGAGGATTGAGAGTCAGGAAAGGAGGATTGAGAGTCAGGAAAGGAGGATTGAGAGTCAGGAAAGGAGGATCGAGAGTGTTGAGAATCGTGGTGAGGAAAATCGAATAGCTTCCCTTGAGCGTCAGGTTACTGCTATTTCCACAGTTTTACAATGGACGTTGGAGAGTTTGGATGAGAGGGGCGACTTACCGGAAGAACCGCATGATGCTCGCGAACTTTGATCTAATGATCCAAACTCATCTACATAACTTTTTACTGTTTTGCTGTTGTGTCCTGCTTGAAGTGCCCTTCTAGACTAAGGTCGTTGCGTCCAAAACGTATACCTAGACGAAACATTGTCTGTCGCTTATGATTTTTATCACTTTTTATGTTTCTACTTTCTCATTTGCAAATAGCTACAACTCCCCATTTTTTTTTTATAAACGTGTTCATCAAGAACAGTACACATACAACTGAAAGCGAAGTATAATATCAAGAAAAAATTATAATAGTCAAAGCAAAAACACAGTTTATTTATACTTGAGTTTACAGCTACTGTCAACAAAATAAAAAAGATGCTGAAAAAAAGGAGGTCTTTTTGTCTCTGTATTAATCAGCATCAGCTGTACCCAAATTGTATTTAACAGATTTTTATAGTACATCTTCTGAGATTGAGAAGGTTCAAGGTACTTAAGAAATTTGAAGGCTTCTGATATACCATCCCACACATGTTCTTGATAACATTCAGTGCACAATCATCAAAAAGGAACCATCGATCTTCCTCAGTCAAAATTTTCAAACAATTTTCATGATCTGTCCAAGGTCAGGTTGACTTCCATCGTTTTCAGGTCTTCATAACTCTCACTGTTTGCTGTAGCACGCATCTACAATTGCCGGATGTCTACGCTTAGTTTGCTTGTCACGTGAAAGCTCGCTTGCTCAAATCATAGAAACTCAGGTCCTTTGTCACTCGACCGATAAATCTAAACGCACATGACTTGTAATGATTTTACATGGAAGCGTCATTGGTATTTCTATTTTTGGAGAAACGGTAGTGTACTTTTGTTATTTTTTTAATAGTATTTTGAAAATACTAAATTTCTGACAATTTTCGCACATTGCAAGGGAGTGTGAGTATATCATTGTGTACAATGTATTTTCTGCTCATTTCTGAAACGTATCATATAACATGTCTGATTTTTAATGTCTTTCTAACATTATTTAAATCAGGGGCGGATCTAGGGTGTGTCAAATCTTTCACGCGACCGATGTTTATAGTTCAAAAATTATTTATCAAATTTAATGATTATTATTTTTGTGATCATTGAATTCCCGATGTATAATCGTATGAATTTCATTTTCAAAATTCTGTTCTATATCTGAAATCTTACGTAAATATCATGTTAGCAAACAGATCAGTAGATATTAACATATCTGGAATTATATTAACTGACCGATAAGCGTGGTGCCTCGACTGGTTCGACCGATAACGGAGTTCAAGAACGGCTAATTTAAGCCATTCCATTGGTCAATAGCCAGATCAGTGGACGATCTGGAATAATCTCGACGGATAAGCGGAGTGGCCGGACCATTGAGTTCTATAAGACCTGGAGGGGAAACGTCATCAAAATTACTATAAATCATTATCGCGCGGCCGCGTGGTCAAAAACATGGCGGATTTTGGTTGTCAAAGTCAGCGGAAAGACGCGGGCTCATAAAATGAAATTTTTTTCGCCCACCCGGATTTGACAACCACAATTGCGATTATATAAAATATCAATGCCAAGCACAAAGACTTTAGAAATTTCATCTTTCAAACATGCTGCAAACCTGTTTGGTATACGGATGCTGAAGTAATGCCAGAAAAGGAAACATTTCATGACACCGGTAAGCAACGTAAGATTGTGTACTATTTAAAGTGTTCAGTTTTTGTTTTAAGTCAATACTTGAAGTGTGATGGCATAAATTTTGTGAATGTTTTTACTCCTAAGTTATAATTTAAGTTATGTTTATCCAGTCTTATTTGTTCTTTACTTAATCGATTGCTAGACGAGGCAAAGCAATCAGTTCTTATCGAGATATGCATATCTTAAAACTCCTTGTTTCAACTGAGTTGAAATGGAGGATTTTTTCATGATATTTTTCTGAAAATATGAAGCAAATATTAAGATCAGAGCTGTATTGAAATCAAATGCAGTGCAGGATTAATTAATGAGCTCTTTGGTACATGTCGTACAATAAAAAATACCAGTATTAAACAGCTAGCCTGGATAATTTGACAGATTATGGACAATCTTGATGATGGTGTGTTAAGGTTTGCTTTTTGCTAAAAGTTTTATAAATGCCATCTGGTGTTTCTGTAAATGAACTGTTTGTTGTAGTAAACAGGTTAGTACATAAGAAATAAGATAAAAACTACTTTGTTCAATAATGTGCCAAATTATGCTCCTACCTTGAAATATTTGCTCAAGATAAGCTTATTATGATGACATGTAACCTTAAATATAGTACTGCATCATCTGACAAAATCCATACATTTTTCAATTCCAGGTGATTAAAAATTCACATAAGATGCATTGATTGCAATGAAGTTGAATGTGGAACAAGCAAAAATTGATGGCAAAAAACTTTTTATGTCTTGAAGAATTATGATATCATTTAAAAGAATAAGAGTAGCAATCTAGTAAAAGAAGCGACATCTGTTTTCAACATGAGACTTTTCCAATTATGTATAGTTTCTTTGTACAAAATACTGTTTTATATAAACTTGATTTTTAAGTCATTCACTGATATTTTTATCAAAAGATGGAAACAAAAATTTAAAGGCATAATGTACAATTCAAAAGTTTGTCAAGTTGTTTGAACCTAGAAAAAATTAGTATAGGTAACTGCAATTTGTAAGGACACAAGAGAAAAGTAGTGCAAGAAGGTTAGCATTTTTGAGAATTAATAAGTTCTTCTTGACATACATTACACAAGGCCATAATATTATAAATAATGACTGTACAATATCAATTATACAACATGCTAAATATCTTCACCTACATTATAATTATTTATACAGATTTGCCTTCATGCAGCAATAAGAAAAGTGTTATGTCAGAGAAACCAATGCACTTTAATTTATGAAATCGTATTTTCAATGGGAAATTAATGTAGTTCTGTTCAGTAGTAGATCCATGGTTGTCAATTACAATCCAGTTTCTAATATCTTGGCTCAAAACAGAACCAGCAACATGATTATAGAATTTCTGAATTTCGTTCTTTTGCTCTCCTAGTTCAAGATATTTTCTTCATAAGTTCTCAGTAGATTTATCAGAATATCATAATACTTTATAAGACACCCAGAATCAATTCTACCAAAAAAAAAAACTCAAAAAAATTACATACCTACTTATAATATATTTCCAGTCGACTTAAGTCGTAGGGGTAAGCTAACTTTTTCTAACTCCTTTTTGGACGTTTTAACTAAGATTTACCCATCTATTCAAGAAAGACAGTTGCACCAAGCTGTTAACAAACAGTCAAAAACACAAGTAATGCGCATGGGATTATGCATTAAGCTTAACAACACATTGACAGTTTAAAGAATGCCGTTTGATATTTATTTCTAATATAGCTAAAGCATTACTTGACAAAATACACGTTATTTTACAGTAGATTTACCTCATTTAAATGTGTGTGTCTATTTCACAAAAACCTGAAGCATTATTTTCAATATTTTATGCTTACAGTATCGTGGTTGTTTTCGCTGGTTGTTTTTATATACGCAGTAATAGAGATCCGTTTCGGGAGGGAGCGAATGTTAAAAATTTTTCTCAAAGTGGAAGTTTTGACAACCAAAATCCGCCATTACCGCCATGTTTTTGACCACGGGGTCCAGGCCCCTTTGCCCCTCCAGGTCTTTTAGAGCTCAATGGGCCGGACCGATAAGGGTGTCTAATTGCTCTCATGTGATTTTTTCGTTTGAGGTTTTATCTTACTGTGTGATTGGTTTGACCGATTTCGACTGATAGCCAACTGAGGTAACATTGTCATGCTTACTGTCTGAATTAGTGTTGCCAAATCGTGAACACTGTTCACAGATTTGTGAACTTTTTGCTCTCTTCATGAACATTTCATGAATGTTAAAAGTTTGTAAACTTTTTGTGAACTTTTCTAAATATTACGTATTTTTGTATTTTCATCATTTTCATAAAGAATGTATAAAGTAAATGGTTTGAACCCGAGTGTATCGTTACATATTTGTAAATGTAGATCGTCCAGGCTGGTATAGTCCTGAGAAGGACTGTTTTTGTTGTTGTTGACTGACGTTTCGACAACCTTAGCGGTAGTCATCTTCAAAGTCAAAAAAAAAACCTGTAAAGAATGTATAGATAAATCATAGTTCAATGAAAAATCTTCATAGCCCGACAGTTCTTTCAAAACGACGATTTTAAGATAATCCAATGTTTTCCGAAATCTTCCGAGGGTTTTCAAATATTTCCGAGGTTTTACGAAAATGTCCGAGTTAATCCGTTCACTTCCGATCTTAAAAATTAGATGTAATATGAACTTTTTGTCATTTTGTGAACTTTTGACGCAAGCGAGCATGAATATTTTAAAATTTCATCTGCAACACTGGTCTGAATTGAATGTTTGATCGTTTCGTTCAGCGCCACCGCAGAAATTTGGGAAAATCTTTTACAAATTCATATATTGACATGAATGCTGTTGTCCAGATTGCGATTTTTTCAAGAGGGTGAAAAATTTATGAATGAATTGTAAATGTTCGGGCAAAGACGCGAGAGACATTTCAGTCATCGATGTTCAAAAGCAAGCCATCATTTTGTTAGAGATTTCTCAGCAGAAATTTACATCTAAAATCGTAAGTAAAGGACAACTGAAGTGTATGCATGAATGTAAAATATCAAAGTCAATTTATGCGAGTGTGTGATGCGATTTATGTCAATATGGCGCATGGTAAGCAGATTGATGCTTCTACAATTAATGTTGCCGAAGGACTTTTGGCTATGATTTCTTTAGTGCTTGGGGAATCTTGGCCGTTATATGGCCAAGTATTTCAATGGAAAAAATCTGTAGCTATAAGGTGCCATGTTATTATATACCTTATTATAAACAAATGTTTTGGGCTTTTCAGTTTATGATCATTGATCATTCAATCATTGGACAATTATACTATACATTGTTTAAGATTTGAGAAAACTAACATTGATTACATGAGAAGCTGTTTACTATAACTTGTGATTTTGAGTCTTCTGATCCATGAAGCTTTTTATTTTGACAATTTGACTGGGATAGTATTAAACCTTAGTATTTCACATACATGAAATGTCCCATGTCATATATTGTCCCCTTTTCTAACTGAACACCTCATGTAGAGATGTCAAGGTGTGCTGATCTACGGCTCATACCAGATTGTTTGCCATAATTCCTAAGGGCTATTGATGTATGAAAAGCATTTTCTATAACATAAAGATGTGTTCCTAGGTATGCAGATAAGCCTTGAAATTTGGCAAAACAGCCAAGTATTTTGCATGATCACTAGTTAATTTTTCTGATGATCTTTATAATTTTTAAACTAAATTATTTCAGATTTACATTTTAACTAGTTTTGATTCTATGAAAAGATATTTATCATAGCCAGTAAGCATGATACAAGATCCAATTTTAACATTCATGTAATTACATGATTAAAGACATGCTGGTTACATTCTGTTTTTATTAGCAAGTACAATGCTACTGGTAATTGCTATATAGCACAACTTGCCTGGACTTACAGAAGATAATAGTCTACTGAAATGCTTCATAAACTTTAATGCCATTAAGCTGTCCTTAATTGCAAAATTTCATCTCTGATACTTATTGTTTAATCTTTGACAGAGAAAAATTTTGAATTTTTTCTCAAAAGGTGAATTTTCTGCCACTGTAAGTGGAAATGGGTTAAGGGTTCAATAAACTTGCATGGTTTGAAGTCTGAGCTTTTTTATATTCATGGACTGACCCTTGTAGTACCTCACTCCTAACTTAAATCATTACATAGAGGTGTGAATGGGGGTTACAAGGGGGGTCTATGCCTGACAATTTGGTAGAAATTTTTAAAGACTATCTCTGTTTTGAAATAGCATTGTTGTAAAGTAAATTTTATGCTCCTAAGCATGCTAATGAGCCTTACCATTTGGCAAAACATTCAAGTATTGTTCACTTTACAGTTTTTTTTTAGAAAAAAACAATGTCCACATAAAGAATTTTGTATTGCTCTAAAATGCTGAAAATGGCATTCCCAAGGCTTTGAAATTCAAAATTTCTCACTCTTCCTAGCGTTGGCTACTCGTTGTATGAATTTTCCTGTAAAGTATTAATACACAAATGAATTGAGAAAAAAGCAATTATGATTTGTGTTCTGTGGAGCACACTTCAAAAATATTTCCCACTAGGCTACCTATGCTATAAGTAACAGAATTTAACATAAAAGCCCATCATGACACAATGACATCAAAAAATGTCTTATCGAAATCAAAGCACCCCATGTCCCCCCATAAAATCATTCTTGATCCATCCCTGTCTTGAAGTGAATGCACTAAATTTATCCCCAGTTTCACATTTCACATTTTGTGTATTTTTTAAGGTGCAAAGAAAGATTGATTCCTTCTGTGTTCTAACTCAATTACTAAACTTGTAAGATACAGGGCCAGGACTCAAGTGGTAAGTTATCTTTTCTATTCTATGCATACTATTAAGTCAAGTTAATCTTCCAATAGAATGAATAAAACATATCACCCAGATTGTAAGAAATTGAATGCATGATTAGGCACCATACCACTATCATACATAAGTCTACATACGTAAAATATGCTGGCATTGGCTAGATTTGTGAGAAACAAAATTTCATTCATGACCATGGTATCAGAGTGTCTGTACAGAGAACATGTTCATTTTAAATGTGGGTGTCCATCTATTATAGGAAAAACACCTGCACTTTTAGCTTCTTGCTTTTAAGGTAAAGGATGTTTGAATGCCATGTATTTACAGACATCATGGTGAAAACCATTACATAATTTATTTGTTTCATGTGTTCATCCTTAAAATGGACATAAATGCCACAGAATATTTACATACAGGTCATTTCTAGTGATTTTTGTGATTTGCATTTGTCAAGGGCAATTTTCTTTGCTGAGTGTCAATGAATCATGTACAGTGTTAACATAAAAGTCACTCAAAGTTAAATTGAGATAATTGAATGTAACTATAGCAGAAGATAGTCAGTATTAACCAGTTAACCAACAATCAAACAAACCATGACTTTTCATTTAAACTGTAACCAAATGTAGGGGGATGGGTGGCTATGGAGGTTGCAGCCTCCGAAATGATTAAGATGGAGGTGCCAAGACCCCCCTCCCATTATTCAATTATTCATTGTTACAAAGAGGTTTCCAATTTTTTTTTTCTGAAATAAGTTCCCGTTCGATAATGGAAAACAATTGACATATAAATGGCCTCTCATACCATACTGTCTGTCTCTCTCATACAGACTGACCTAATGAAGCTGAAACTTTCCTTATAGTCTGAATGCCAAGCGCCTGCTACGACGTTTCTTGTTGTTTGCTACACTGCTCTATACAAAACATCTTCCGCTGTCACTGTCTGTGACAGCAAAAGCTCTTATTGTTGGTACAATAGCGTTAAGAAAGTGGAAAAAGCAAAAAAAAATCAAGGCATCTAAACATATTTCAAAATCCTGATCACGTAAGGTGCATTTGCCCAAAAGTCTTTCTTATTTTTCAATAAACTGCAGGTGGTTTTCCCTTTTCTTCGGTATTTAAAGAAACGTGGTGTTTGTGTTTATTTTTCGGTATGCTAGTTACGTGTTTTAAACTTTTTTTCTTTGAAAACAGATTTTGACTTTGTTAACGATGCCTGGAATCAAGATCCGTGATGAAGATCGAGAAAAAATCCCAGCGAAGTATATTTGTACTTACTGTCATCTCCTTCTCATCAATCCAATGCAGACCATGTGTGGGCATTTGTTTTGTAAATCTTGTATGGACATTATTCTTGGGTAACGTAAATTTTTATGGAACAAATCATTTATAAAAAGTTATAGTAGTTGTCATGCATGGTCTTTCAATAGACGCCCTGATTATGCATCCCAATATCGTATCACATATCCCAAAGTATTCCTGCGTATCATCTTGTTCAATTAAGTCGGTGCCTAGCTGGTAGGGCGTCAAAATTGTTTATTAGATCTCTTGATACGACTTCGGTTAAAAACTGTTGCGTAGGAGACTAGGGAAAGCTCATCATAGTCCATCATATTTTTATGATCCTAAATAACAGCTGCTTTCCTAGGAACGTAATTTATTAGAACATGCATGTACAAATATTGACCCCCACCCCCCCTATTTAACTGTCGAACTGGTTACGCCATCCATTCTTCGAAATTGATAATTCTTGTTAGTAGTTTTTGTCTTTTTTCAATCTGTAAAAATCCTGATCCAAAATGTCCTGAAGATAAAGAAAATTTGACCAAGGAAAATGTAGGTGAAAATATTGCAAAGATTTGACAGAAAATTCAATTACAGTTTTGTTGCTATCGATCATTAGCGTAGCCATCCCGCAAGCTTAGTCCTGCTTTGTAAATGTTAGTACATAATATTTTCCATATTACAGGGTATGTCAGTTAATGAGCAAAGAAAAATTAGCATAGCACGACTAAATAAGCATGTTGGCTTAACAACTATAATTATAATTACTCTTTGAGTTCTAAAAAATAATACATCGCTTTACGTATATTGTCATGTCTTGTGACATAAAAAATCCTTTGGCAACTTGGGTTATCATAGCAACGTGCAAACGTTCTCAATATGTTGACTCAACATGCGCTAAACATTGTTTTTTGTTTGATGAGTGATGCTAAACGATGTGTGCAAACGTTCTCAACATGTTGAGTCTTGAAATGATATCGCGTAGGATCATGAGATAAAATACTCCACCATTAGCGTATATACAGGTACATAAACGGTTCAGTGACCAGGTAAATAACAACAATATAAGCTGCACAGGTAGTGTGCATGCTTTCCAATCTAAGAGATAAAAAAGTGGGTTGTAAACTACATATTGTCTTGAATGCAATAATTGGACAAACGATACTTACTAGTATTATAAAGCAACCATGCATTGTTATGAAGAAACATTCAATTACCTCTTTGTAAAATTATATCACTGTTTAAAAACTGCTGTGCAATGCAATAGATACTACAACTATTTTAAGGTTTAAGGCTACGAGATTCTTAAACAAAAACATTTTGTAAATCACATAATCACATAACCTCATGTTAAAAAATATTAATCATCACCGCTTATAAGTCAGTCAGTTAATATAATTCCAGATATGCCAAAACGTGATATTTACGTAAGATTTCAGATATAAAACAGAATTTTGACAATGAAATTTATACGATTATACATCGGGAATTCAATGATCACAAAAAACTGTAATCATTAAATTTGATAAGTAATTTTTGAACTATAAACATCAGTCGCGTGAATGATTTGACATACCCTAGATCCGCCCCTGCATGTTATGACAATAACAACCATACGTACTGATGAATACCATATCCAAATGCTGTAGCAAGGTGTAGTGATAATATTATCTTTATAAAATAAAAATAGAAACTAAAACTAAGTATAAACTAAGCTTAGTAAATTTGTTTGTTCCTACACCAATATACCCGGACTCAAAGTCACGGCAAAAGTAACATACGACAATCTCTAGATTATAAAGAATGATAAAATAAAGGTGTATACCACAGTTTTTGCGCATTGAAACATATTCTAGATCATAACTGCCTCTAAACTTGGAAAGCGAGCTGTGCATTATCTTGTCTTGGCAACTATGAGGCAAATTCGATTCTTGCACGAGCGATTTTCAAATGAACGCCGATATTTTACAGGTATCGAAATAATTTTGATGTCACGTTGATTTAAATAACTTTATTTATCCATGACAGATATTTGAGATAAGTAAAACGTCGCGAAATGTCTTAAATCTTCGAAAATCCTTGTTTGTAAACGTTATCCGCCATACATTTTTATAGTAATTTGTATCTCTAGTGGGTAACCGGAAGTGCACTTTGCATATATAATTAGGCTTCACATTTAAAAAGAAAAGCTCAAAATAATTCACGATTTCGATGCCAAGCAAGAAACCCGATGTAGTGTTCATCGTAGAAACATAGCTTACATGATACTTGTAATCTTGAGATATCTGAGTACCACATTGTTTATAAAAACAGAGCTTTTGGACCACATGGAGGTGTTGTATATGTCTATATATAAAAAAATCTATTCATTTTTTTATATATAGTACAGTTCTTGACTAATTTAGTTCGACCACGTTTGAGGCTTTTTGGGTTAAAATTATGCCAATCATTTAGTTATTAACTGATTAGTTAATTCAATTACAGCAATGGACATTTTTATATTCTTGGTGTGAAGTCGTTTGAATTGTGCTTTTAATAGACTTAACTTTTGCTATCTTGCGGATCAATTCTGATTACCAGAAACAGCTTAAAATATACCTAAATGATACAACCAAACATCGGACATGATCTTAACAAATCTTTATAATGTCTACAATAAGAATTCTATATCAACTTTCCTTCATTCAATTTATCAGAATATAATGTAATGTTATCTTATCAAGGTGTGAGATTTACTTTTCCCAACATTTAAGCCAACGAACGCCTATTTTGTCTTATTCAACTTAAACAAGCATATGAAACAAAAGTTCCACAATTTGATATTGTGAATTTTCATGTATAAGACAAACACTTAATTATGGAGCTAAGGTTTTTTTTAACAAACTCCCAAAATACCAAGGAAACGGTAATATTATTCAAAAATGTTAATAAAAACAATAAAAATCATATCGCCGTATCTTTTTTTTACATAGCAATTCTCTTTTAATGTTTTAAATTCAGTTGCACAAAATAATTTGCCACGTATCAACTCAAAGGACGAGGCCATTTGACGCTTAACTTATCAGAACGTGAAGAAATCTGAAAGATCGAATGTTCAAAGCCTCAATCATCGATCAGTAAAGGTTTATAACACTAAAGACAAAGAATTATCGTGTGTGTTAACGATGTATAATGAGATCTTAAGTAAAAGTTGTTCGTCAAATATATATAATACAGTTTTAATAAATATTAGTCTCAACCTAGTACTATAAAATATACATCATAGATACTCGTAGCAACTTGTGATCCTGTAGTTGTACACCAAATAAGCAAAGTTACAAATACAAACAATTTGCTTACCAAAAAATCACTGTCATCTGAAGGAAGGCGTGTTTATCATGATGTGCTCGCTTGCTAAGGAGTTTAAATTGCTTGTTAGCATGCAATTATATTTATCTTTGGGTCCGGACGGTATATTTATAAAATATTTTTTATTTCATTATACTTGTGATGATATCAAATGACATTTATGAATCAGGAAGAAAATTTGGTTTGAAATTGCAAATGGACTCATGCATGTCTACATTGAATATTTTAAATATTTAGTTTTTTTTTAAATATTTAGTCGTTTTGTAACGTTGCAATTATCTTTCGTTGAGCTGTTGACGCTAAGGTGATACATGCAAATTCATAGCATTAAATAAATAAAACTGAAAATCTTTGGTTTCTGCTTTGAAAAAACCGAGCTTTTGGACCACAAGGTGGTGTACAGCAGAAATTCTTATATAATTATGCCACGTTTGAGGCTCTTTTCATTAAAATTAGACCGATTAACTAATTATAAACTAATTATTCAATTCAATTACAGCAATGAACATTTTTGTATTTTGGGTGTGGAATCGTTTTGACTTGTGATTTTGATAAACTTAACTTTTGCCACCTTACGAATCAATTCAGATTATCAGAAACAGCTTGTAGTTAAATATACCTAAAAGATACAAACACACATTGAACTTGATGCTAACTAATCTTTATAATTTCTACAAGACTACAACAAGAATTCGCTATCACCTTCCCTTCATTTGATTTATCAGAATATAATGAAATGTCACCTTATCCAACTGTGAGATTTACTTTTCCCAATATTAGAGAAAACAAACGCATATTTTAGATAAGACTTAGTCTATTTCACTAAATGAGGATCTTGTAAAATATATATTGAGAGAGAAAAAACAGAGGTCATTCGTTTACGAATGACAAAGAATAATAAAAGTTGGGTCCAGGCACCTTATTAATCAACGATTATCCCATTATGCTTCATCCCCCCCCCCCTAAGTCTTTTCTACCAGGGATATGGATCATTTGGAACATGTATCTCAGTGTCTTCTCCTTGAGATTTGGGATATTCTCCAATGTCCGATCACCAAATAGTTTGAGCAGAGATTTGTGGTCTACAGCGATTGTGAGTTTGGTGCAACCGAGTACGAAGAACCTGGCTTTGTCGAGAGCGTCTGTGACTGCCAGTGCCTCCTCTTCTATTGGTGCGTATCGAGATTTAGCGGCATGTTTGAAGCGGCTGCCGACCAGGCTTATCTTCCACCCGGTGTGGCAGCATAGTGGTCCAGTCGATTGACATTCACAGTGTTTTTAGAGTAGCCAAAAGCCGATGCCATGTTTTGACCAATCAGTGGCAAGACAGGTGGGGCGTGTCTTGTCAAAGATGCAAACGCCCTCATGGATTTCATTTATGATTATGGATTTGGATTCCTCAAAGAGAGTGTTGAGCTCCTCGTCCCAATAAAACTTCGTGCTGGGTATTAGTACTTTTCTAAACGATAGCATACGTTCAGTGGCTCCAAATGCATATGAGACTTCATTGTTCAGGTGAAATTAAGAGCGGATGTCAGTGATACTGCTCGGCTTTGGTAAATGGCGAATAGCATCGATGAATTTCCTGCTTGGGCGAACAGATTTTATGGGATTTCAAACCCTGCGAACTCGACTGTATCTGATCCGAAGACAAATTTGTCTGGGTTGAGGATGATGCCGTTTTGACCGCAGATGTCAAGCCATTCTACACTTTGATGGAAACTTTAGGTGAGGTAATATGAATTAAATATTTGTCGAAAAAGTTTACAGTTGAACGTCGTATAATGACAAAAAAACTGTAGACTGGCTGTGTCTTTCACTTTAAATAGATTTTTCTTCAATAATTAAATTTTAATTCGATACCAAAGCCCATCTTCAGTGAACTGTCAAGCATAGGTCTCTTCATAATTTTTGAAACTGAGGTGTTGATCGATGAACAGCCAGTACGGTTAAATGCCTTTAACGTGTTACATAGAAATGCAAAAACATTAATTGGAATTGAAAGGATGAACATATTTATATTTTCCTAACCCTTTAGTAATTATTTGATAATCAGAGATAATGAATTCGTTCTGCTCTTATTTGTGTGATGTTTGAATAATGAATTCATAGTCACATAATGCATCATGTGACAAAATCTTTTAGTAAGCTTTGGCTCCCGGGCCTTCCTTTTCCAATGTCACTGCTTTCTTCTTTGCTTCTTTTTTAACCATTTAGACTTCGAGGTATTATTCGCAATAAATTATAGCTTTTTTCCGTTCTTACATGCATTCTTTTTGTCGCTTTTTTGCAAATATAATTCCCACCAAATAGAAATGAGCACATATCGTTAACTTTTAAGATTAGTATAAATGCATAAAATATTTTATCTACAAATAACTTACTAATTAAGGTACGATATCAGTTGGTAAAGTTAAAGTACTCCAGCAATATATACACAAATATAAAGCATAAAGACAATTTAGCGATATTTTTGACCTTAATAATATGCAATAGCCATTCAAATCAGGATTATAGTGTTTTTTATATCAATGAATTTAACGTTGGGCAGTTTTCGTTTTCGTCGGGCAAAAATGTGTCAGAACCCCCAACATTTTTTGGACCCGTACGCCCATTTTTTATTTCCTCATGATATAAAATCTCAACTTCAACTAAACGTTATATATAATGTATATTGAATTTTTGGAATTCTTGGTTTTAATCATGTTGATATATCAATTTTTTGCAGATGGAATCAAGAGGAAAAAGAAACCTATTTTACATTGGGCAAATAATTAATGTTGTTCAAAAGGAACTTGCTTCGTTTTTCATCAAGCAATGGAACTCTCATTACAAATCATCTCATGGAAAATGGGATGATACACCCAAAAGTGGCAACAAATTTTACACTTTCGAATCAGGAAGAAGATTAGTCCCAAAAACACGACAAAAATATCAGGATGGAGACACCAGTAAGTGGGACTGTACGATATTATTTGATGCTATACTTTTTTCAAAATCAATTGGAAAGCATCTTGATAAAAAAACAAAGGATGCTGTTCATGAAATTCTTTGTGAAAGAAACAGATACGCACATTGGCATGAAAGGGAATGCTCAGATGATGATTTTGATGAGATAGTCAATATTATAGAAAAATCATTTCAATATTTGAAATTTTCTCTCGATGAAATCATTGAAATAAAAAATCATCGAAACTGTTTAAATTCATTCCAAGTGCTTCCTTCTAAACCTAAACATTTTATCGTTGAACGCACAAACCTACGAGATGAAATCATAAAAGATCTTGAAAAATTAAGGAATGATAACAATGATAAACTGACATATTTTTACATCAGTGGTAATCCTGGCAGTGGTAAATCACAACTTGCAAGACAGGTTTGTGAAAAAATATCGTGTGATTGGAAAAATAGAACTTCGTTTGTAATGACTCTCGATGCAAAAAATGAGGATTCTCTTTTTAAAACTTACTGTGAACTTGGATACCGTTTAGACTGTGACAAGTCTATGATTAAAAAATTTGAAGATGAAAACTGTTCCATCACAGAAAAAGTGAAGAATTTGAGATCGTTAGTATCCACACGATTAAAATTCTGGCAAAATTGGTTGATCATTGTAGACAACGTGGTACAGCTCAGCAAAAATTCTTCATTACTTCCCCAAGTAGGTGATCCCATTTGGACAAACGGACAAATCATAGTAACTATCCAGAACACAGATGCCGTACCTCAAGATGATGAGTTTAATAAACATATTTCTATCAGAATTGGAATGAATGATAGGGAATGTTTTCAACTGCTAAAGCATTACACTATTGAACATTCTGATGATCAATTGTTGAATCAAGTATCACACTCATTAGATCGTCAACCTCTGGCTTTGGCTGCTGCTGGTTATTGTTTCAGTCGTGTAAAGAAAGTCAACTGTTCATTTACTTGGAGTCAATATTTAAAGATAATATCTTCAGAAGAGCAAGAAAACATGGACGCCACTTTTTTTAAATTTAACTCGGTATATCCTAGAAGTATGTTACAAGCTTCACTTTTAGCTGTCAGACAAAATGCTGAAGAATCCTCAATATTGGCAAATGTTATTAACTTTTTTTCCATGATATCGTTTGATCCTATACCACGAGACATTATTGTCTTTTATATTCAGGAAATTGATCCCAAACACTCAAAGGAAGATATATGTCTTTCTTTAAAGGACTGCTCATTGTTCTTGCATTCAGAAAAAAATGACATTAGTCTACATCGCATTGTTCACAAGGCAATTATTGTTTACCGATCTGAACACTTAAATAAAGAATGCAAAATAGAACAAACTTATAATTTGCCTTCTCTTCAAATAGTAGTAGTCAAATGTATTCTGGCGCTCTTGTGCTAAATGTTGGACACTTCGATTATTAAAATAAGCTTGAAAATGTGAAACTCTTGACGATGAAGCTTTCTGCATTGATTTCTCGACCACAGGTGTTGTTGTAAATTGTAATTGTCACGGAGTTGCTGAGAATATCGTAACTATTAACCATTTTCTATATACAGACATTACTGAACTGGAGAATCAGTTCTTTAGGGAAAATATACTGGGACTAAGTCTTTCATCCGTTAAATCAATAGGTACATAAATGACTAAGGCATTAATATTACTGTCATATTCAATTCATGTTTTTTATGTCTAACTCGAACTATTTGAGATCCGTCGTTTATTGATGGCTTTTAATATGTTTCAGTCGGCTAAGAATACATAAAAATTTCATAGTATAATACAAAAAAATTTGGCCATAATGAATTTAGGGTCCTAGATTTTAGTGGTTCATTGACATACAAATTGTTTTATGTGAAGACTGGGTTATTCATTTTGGTTGTAGACAAACAAAAGAGCCAAAGCAATAATTAAAACGCAGTTGGGATTCATATTTACATTAATCAACTAAAAGAATAATTCAAAAATCTACCTATAAACTTAAAACATGTACATAAATCCCACTCTAAAGAACAGTGAGATGGAAACAAAACATTTTAATGAAACAAACATTGCTCAAGATATATAACAGCTATAAACTTATTGTTAGTTGTAAGATTCAAATACAACATTGCACCAATTTAGAGATAAAAATATTCCATATACCTGGTGTCTATTTCACAGTGACTCATAGAATTAAAGCATAAATTTAAAATTTTAAAGATCATCTTATAATATAAAGGTATCAAAAATGAAACACACTTTGAGTATTTGACATCTTAGAAAAATTTTTATTCCACCAAACCCAGCTCTGTGAAAATTATGTATTCAAAAAATCATAAACTGAAAGATTGACAAATATTGGAACTAAATCGGGATGATTTTAAAACAGACATATTTCAGCATGCTTATGCCATTTTGAGTGTATTACTTTTTGCAGCAAGAAAATTTTATGTCGCTTATACTTGTCACAGATATTAAATTACAGGAGTGGAAATAGAAATTTAATTACAAGTTAAAATTAGACCTATAATGTATTTGTTTGCTGAGATCTAGTTTTATCAAGTTGCTTAATATAAAGCATATGTAAATGATTTGAGCAATAAAGATAGCAAAAGCGTGCCAAAACATGTGTCTACATATTATCAAATCGTGGTCTGTATTAAATGTACAACTGCTATTTTGCTACTAATAAATTATTGAAACTACATTGACATAGCGTGACTGACATTGATGCCAAACATTATTATAGCAATTACAGTCATTATGTATAAAGGTGTTGCACATGATTTTTTCAATCAATTCGATCACTTCTTCCCTTGTTTATTCCTCACGCTCATCTATTTTCCAGGAATACAGTTCAATTTCATTTCATAAATGACAATAATTTGCTACGACGAGTTGATTGTTTAATGAAAGTATAGCGCCGAGGTAGGAGTAAACAAGCCACATATAGCGATAAAATTTCAATGTTTGACCGAACTCTCTTAATTGCCTCGACTCCATAAGGAAAGGCAGCCTTCTGAACAAATTGAGTGATTCGGAAAGGATTCAATATACATTAAAGGAAAGAATCGTCAACGAGAAATGAATTCGAACTTCGAAGTAGCTATTAATTAAGCAACCATTCATTTGCTCTGTTTAGGAACAAAATTCGTCTATTTTCTACGCTTTTGGGCGCTTGCGTATTCTTTAGGAAACTTTTGAATATATATATATATACTGTGTATGACGAATGCATGATTAAATATTTCCAGACTTTTCTTTTACATCCATCAGTAATTAAACAACAACGCTAAAAAATGTGTTAATGTCTGTGTCTGCTTACAATTTTGGTTTTTTGACAGGTTGCATAAAATTGCATAAAGTTGTAATAGTTTCCTTATCCTCAAAACAGACAGTCAACAGCAACGGACTTTAGCAACTTTTTCTTATAATTACTACGAAACTCGACAGAGATTGGCGACAACAGTTCGTTAACACTTGTCTGAATTCATTACAACTCCCTTAATAATCGAGTGTGAGGTCTTTACGGAGAAATATCTGACAGATGTTTTTTGTACTGACCGAGCCCATTAGGGTGAGGTTTGTGCTAAAAACAGAGGTCCGAGATTTCCTAATAAAGACCGAGCAGGCGAGGTTAATAAAAAATCAAGTAGCTATATGGTATTATTTGACCTGAAACGAAGATTTCTTTTCTTTTTCGATCTTTTCTGTTTTGCAAGGACTGGCTTTAACTCCTCTAGTTTTTGCCATCTGAAAATAAATAGTTTGAAATTGTGTTGCCTAGATAATAAAACCCACTTTTCGAGTGTTCTTTTTTGACTTACATTCATACCATGATTTTTTGTGTTGTTTATATTTTGGTTTTACAAAACATTTGCTGTTTGCTTCATGAAATTTTGGTTAAACACAAGACAATAGACACTCCGTATATAGTAAACATTTAATCCAGATAAATAATGTTTACTATATACAGTGTCTATTGTCTTGTATTTTATCAAAATTCTCTATGGCAGTCGTAATTCATGAAGTTTGTTTATCTACATTTATTGGTAATCTTACGCCTAATGAAAGCTGTTTCATTACGTGAAAATATTTACTGCCCTCTCAATATTTCCAACTGTAAGGTCATTTTATTACTTGAAAATGTCAGTCATGTAAAACAGTGCGTAATATATGTATAAGACATTTTGGAGCTAATGGGCAAAACGAAATGAAATTTATAGTTTTAAAAAGCTACTGTCCAAAACTTTCAAATTTATTTTTGTTATTTCTTTTTGAGCGCTAGCTATAAATTCATTTTTTTGCTTGTTGTCAAAATAGAAATACACAGCTTGTGTGGATAACGCTTTTTAAAATATTGTTCACAGAATTCACAAGTGGTGATGATGCTAATGCTACAGATGTCGGAAATTCTCCTGGTGTTGAAAATACAGAACAAGGTATGCCTTTCAATTTTATTTTATTTTATATATTTTGCATAACCTAAGCATATTTAATTTATATTGTATCACAAATCAAGTCATTTGATTGGTATTTATGTACTTTTATGAAGATTTATATTATTTGATAATATGCATAATGTACGTATACAGTGTTGCACTTTCGGACTCCAAACGTTTGTTTATTACGTAAGTTCAATACTGTATTAATGACTTAAATTTTCCTTTTGCGAAAGACAACTAATTTAAATGTACTTTATACCAGACGGCAGTGCTCAGCACAACTTGATAAGTCTTTGTTTATGTCTATAAATACTGCGTAGCAGCAAAGTGTGGCGCAACTCTTTTTATAAAGTGCTCAAATTGACAACAATTCATAAGTTGTATTGAAGAAAAAATATTATAATAAATTGACTAAAACCTTTTAAAACAAATCTTAACGTAATGTACACCATGCAGGTCGACCCTGCATTTTAGAGATGTTCAGGTTAGACGTTCAAGTGCTAGTGTTTGATAACGTTAATTACTACTTTCTTTGTTAGCTACAGGAGATTAGTCGGAGTATAACTTTTTCCAGATAGAAATTAATTTTTTTGCTACTGGTTTACAGTATCGAAAGTGTTGAAACATTTAAAAAAACATCACCAAGTCCAAGTTCTAATAAAAAATTACTTCAAATTCATTCTTCAATCAACCTTTTACAACCTTTTACAATTTTATAAGATATATTAATTTTTCATTACATATCTAAGCAACACTGAATGGTAACAATTGCGGCTGGTTTTATCTGTTTTAACCATGACAGTAAAATCTTGTCCCTTCACAATTTGTATTTGAAGCACATTATCAGTCAGTTGAAATTAAAAGGAGACATGAGGTGATAATGACATCATGTAATCTATTTTTCAAAATAACGTTTATTTGCATTCTGCTTGTTTAATCATAAAAGCTTCTCAACAAACTATCCTTTGGATATACTGTCATACTTCACGTTTGCACCATCATGCATACACTACCTAGCTAAAAACATTGAAAATTATGCAAAGAACGGCCACCATCAAATCGACTTGCTTAATATACTTCAATAAATAAGAATTCCTGTTCGTTGTAATAAAATAAATCAAACTCATATGGAAAATGAGCAAATTTGACGATGTGAATTTTCAAAGTTCCACAATAAAAAGAAAGCTATTTACAATTTTCATTATGACAAATATAGCATTAAATTTCACATTTATTAAACGATCATCTAAATTCTAAATTTACTGAAAAATACAAGTTTTTTTTCAACTCTCTCCTTGCTAAATATACTGGAGATTACCTCTTCAGTATGAACATCATTCAAAAGTCAACAAAGATCATTTTCTATGTTAGATTTGAATTTTGAATACTTTTTACTTGGAGTTGCATTTTGAAAGTTGCATAGAGCATAAAAGTTGCTGTATCAGTTTTTTCTACTAGAAAATTTCACAAAATAGATAAGCAGACAACGTTACTAATGCAAAACATAAAAACAAAGACTTTATTCGTTGATTTAAAAAAATTTCTCCTACTGATCTCAAAATAAATAAATATAATTTTTTGGACTATATTAGAAAAACAAGAGAGTCGAAAAATCTCATTTATGATTCAAGCTGTGTGACGATTGTCAACGATTGTTTAAAAAGCTACGATTGTCAACAGTCTTAATAACCTCAATTAAAAAGTGCATGTCAATCAGACCAAGCCACTTACGACATAAGCCACCCGATTGAGTAAGAATAACGATGCTGCGAAAATATCGCTTACAGAATTTAATGGCTGTATCATGTTTTCTGAGATTTTGTAAAACGAACCACTTAATAGGGGACCAAAACTATAACTTTTTTGGGTTTGGGGAGGGGGTGTTTAATAGCGCTGCTAAAATATCGCTTACAGAACTCAATCGCTGTATCATGTTTTCTTAGATAATGTAGCACTGACCACTGTATAGAGGGGCGAACTAGAACTTTTAGTTTGGTGGGGGAGGCGGGTGTTTAATAAAGCTGCTGCTGAAATATTGCTCACAGAACCCAATGGCTGTATCATGTTTCCACAAATATTGTAGCACGGACCACTGTATTGATGGCAAAACTATAACATTTAGTGGGATGGGGGAGGGGGTGTTTAATAACGCTGCTGCTAAAATATCGCTCACAGAACCCAATAGCTGTATCATGTTTCCACAGATATTGTAGCACGGACCACTGTATTGATGGCGAAACGATAACATTTAGTGAGGTGGGTGAGAACATTTTTAATAACGCTGCAGCTGAAAATATCGCTCACAGAACCCAATGGCTGTATCACGTTTCTTCAGATTTTGTAGCACGGACCACTGTATAGAGGACCAAAACTATAAATTTTAGTGAGGTGGGGTAAATTTGTTTTTCTTCTCTGTCATCATAATTTATTCACCTCCTACAGCTTTACTTCAACATCTTATGATAACTTAGTGATTATTGTTATTAAGTTTTAGGTTTAATCTTAACAGATTTTGATTTCATCATTAAGTAATTTATGATTATTTGATGGTTGATGAAAACTCGATGTTTCAGTGGTATTCGAAGATGTTTGAATACCACTGAAACGTCCCAGACCATGGCATATCTAGGAAGAGCTGGTCGTGCAGCAAATACACCTTTAACAAACCTAGCAACGAATGGATGTGTAACAAACGAGATGCCACTTGGTAGCTTAGGTTAGTAGATAAGGCGCTCCTTGCAGTATTAATACCGCTGTAGGAAAAACCTTCCTGGTATAATTTTGTAAGAAAAGTAATGCCCTCTTCTACAGAGGACGCGACAGGATCGATATTGTTTGCATTGCAATATTGTCGCCAACGGTTAAGGTATGTAGAATATTGCTTCTTGGTACCGGTCCGCCAAGACTGCTGGATGATTTGAGAAGCCTCTGGTAAAATGCCTCTATCAGAGAGGAGTTCCCCGATAAATGGCAAAGTGGTAGCTCTAGTTTTGTATTGAGAGGGTGGATTTGATCTGGATGATCTGGAAGAGTTAAGGTCATTCTTCCTCTAGTTAAGACAACAGGATGTGCTATTAGCATCTGAATTAAAGCTGGCCACCAACTTTGTGTTGGCCAACGAGGGACTAAGACTAGTACTGTGCTTTTATCTTGTACTATTTTTTGTAACACTTGCGAAATTATGCTAAAAGGCGGGAACGCATAAAATGTATAATTGGCTCACGATATCGTAAAGGCGTTGACAGCTATAGCATACGGGTCAGGCTGGTATGAAACATAGGGTTTCACTTGATTATTCAACCTTGACGCAAAGAAATCAATGTTCGGAGTTACGTCTAGTAGTAGAATGGCACATGTAAACAGAGTCTTGTTCAACTGCCATTCTGTTTCTCTGCGTAATATTCGAGATTCTTGATCGGCAGTGACATTTAGTAATCCTGGAATGTGCGCTGCTGTCAACCAAATATCATACGAAATGCGGCAGGTCCAGACATTGCATGTCAACTTGTGAATAGACCTTGAGTAACATGTGCCCATTTGATTAATGCAAGCTACAGCGGTAGTATTATCAATTAATACCTTAACATGCTCACCTTTTAGTTTTGAATAAAATGACTCAAGGGCAAACAATACCGCAAGAATTTCCAAATAATTTATATGATTGGAATTCTTTAAGGGCGTCCAGTTACCCCCAGCACATACAACATTTAGGAAGCAGCCCCACTCTGTCAACGACGCATCTGTTGTTAGGCATATGCTAGGTTGATTGTGAGTAATTTGCCTGTAAGTCGTGCATATTGATGACTGCCACCATCGTAAATCATGTATGGCCTCTGAAGACAGGGTCATTGTCTTGTCAAAATTACCCCGGTTTAACTTATGAGCATCGCTTTTATCCATTTCCAGGCAGCGATAATGCAACTGACCGTACATTAAGCCGGGGAGACTCGAAGTTAGAGTGCCCAAAACCCGAGAAACAACCCTTATTTTTGGGTTAGAAGCTTGTAGCAGCTCATGACACATGCGTCTTATCTTCTCAGCTCGTTCTGTCGTAACAGATACTCGCATAAGAACTAAGTTGAGTCGGAAACCCAAAAAAGTAATTACTTATGAGGGAACTAAAACTGACTTATCCGGATGTACGTAAAACCCCACTTCACTAAGCAGATGGTATCTTGAATATTCCGAACACATGAAGCATATGTGTCGGATGTCAGTCAAGTATCATCAATAATTCCAACCGAAATATATCCCTTTGACGTAAATTTGAAAAACAGGTTTGAGGAGTTTTGTAAATTTTCGTGGGCAGATGGCTAGGCCGTTAGGAAAACAGACAAATTTATATAGTTGCCCTCTCCACCAAAATTTAAGGAATTTTTGATATGTTTGGTGAATAGGTACGGAATAGTAAGCATCTTTGAGATCGATGGATGCCATGAAACTATTTGGTTTCATAAGCCTAATAGCTGACCAAACACACTCTATTTTAAAATGGTGATATCTGACATGCCTGTTTAAGGATTTCAGATTAAGAATCATGCGAAAAGAATTGTCTTTTTTGGGACAAGTGAAAATTGGAGATACAAATTCCCCTGATTCAGGGTGAGAAATCTGTAAAACGCCTTTTTCGCGTAATTTGTTAATTTCTAAATCAATATTGTTCATTTCAACCTCGGGTAGCTGTATTTGCTTAAGTAAGGCTCTTTGTATCGGAATTGTGTCAAATTCAATTTTTTGTCGAGACACTGTCTCTAAGATTTCCTCATCAGAGGTGAGTGTTTCCCATGCACTTAAAAAATTTGATATACTGCCAGCCTGATAGGTCTCCAAACTTTTATTCTAATACGCTATTAGCGTGGGTACAAACGAAGAATACTGGTTTACCTGTAAAGTATTAAAATTTCTTAAAATTTCAGTGTTTTCTACTTGCAATTGTTCATTGTGTCCGATCGTTTCTTCCCGAATCGGTTCCTCTTCGACCGATAGGGGGTGTTTCTCTGATGACGGGATAAAAAAGGATGCCATTGTCGTTTCCCTTGTTTGGAATGTTGATGCCAAGTGGTATTCAAAGAGCTTGTTGTCGCGTTGCCAATCTTGTTGGATGTGTGAATGTGATTAATTTGGGCTTGCAATTCATCTCCAAAAAATATTTCGTAATGGGAACATGCGATGCGCATAAAGTACTAAATTCTTGATGGAGATTGGGACGTATAACGTCACGTCGCCGTTGAGACAATTCAAAACTTATATGTCCCAGGATCGCTATGATATCAGCGTTCATACGAACAAGATTATCAATATTCAGTTCGCTGCTCTTATTGCGGGCAACCAAAAGTTCATTGGTGGTTTGTGCTGCTATATGACCGACATTTGTCAGGGCGGATTGAATGGCACTCAATTGTAAATCACGCCCTCTAGCTGTGCGGTCTAATTTTCCCCAAATTTCGGGGTTTACCTTAGGTACAATAACGCGATCGCAGTTCTTAGGCCTAAAAATATTTAGCCTGTTTTTCCTTCAATTGCTAGTCGCTCAGCTTAGTCGGCCAAAGCTGGTTGATAATTGAGGCGAGCTTCTCGTTGACGATTGGTGAAGTTTCCTTAGTTTTGTCTAGAGTCTGCGAAATCTCTTCCAGCAACGAGTCCACTGCTAGTTGATCTGCTTTAGAATTGCGCTTGGTCGAAGGTGCTACGTTTTGTGTTAAAAAGACTTCAAGAATAAAAGCACTTGCTTTCCTCTTACGAGTAGATTCTACTGTAGAGGATGCTGACGTTTGCTGCATTAACCTGAGTGATTCACTCATTGCAAACATTGCTTCACTCATCCTACAAAGGGCGGTTGCCACATTCAAATTCTTTGATGTGACTTGCACTTATTCGCTTTCTTTCATCATGTCATCTTGTTCATCGTGTTCAACAAACCCAAGAGTGCTGCTTCATCTCCGACATCATCTCTTGTCGTATACCCTTCACTTGTAGAAGCCATAATTCAAAAAAATTTGTAATATATTAAGGAAAGAAACTTTTGTAACTGATCGCTGTGAAATCTTTGCTCGAACTGATCTTGATATCGCGCGCTCTATCTAACATGACTTTCTAGTGACGTAGAACAGTGACAAATTAGAATCTGTTTTAACCATTGCAGTAAAATTTTCTCACTTTCAAAATTGTACTTGAAGCACATTATCAGTCTGTTGAAATTAAAATGAAACATGAGGTGATAATCACAACATCAGTCTGATGATGAATTTGTAACAAAAATGGCACCACCATGCCTACATTACCTAGCTAATGACATTGGAAATCCTGTTTAATGTAAGTAAAATACCTCAAAATCATATGAATAATGAGCCATTTCGACGATAAAAAGAAGGCTGTTAACAATTTTCATTATGACAAATGTAACATAAAATTACACATTTATCAAACGATCTTCTAAAGTCTAAATTTACAGAAAACTTTAAATTTTTCTTTGGCTGTAAGAACGGTAGTAAAAATCCAAATATAAAAAAATGTTTCTTCATGTGAAAATTCACTGAGGGATTGTCAGCTCGATAATTAGGCGGAGTCGTTTATTTTCTACGAATTATGGCACACATATATGTATTGGAATATTGATAACTTTCATATATCTTACTAGCGGTTCATCCAATCATTATTTATATATAACATACAATAACTATACTGAGTTGTGTATGCAAACCTACATGTGTACCACAATCTCAAATAACAAAATAGAGTCTTTGTCGTGGTGATAAATCTGAAAATAGTTCTAAAGATAGCAAATACCATAGTAAATGGTAAAAGTAATATAATAAGTTGATAGTTCTTAAAAGAACTGTTTTAAGTAAAGAGCACTAAACCAATAGTTTTAAATTAAACGACACGATGCATTTCGGCAGACTACTCCTGTACGTCATCTTCTTGGCATTTTAAATATCGGTAGATTGTAAATTTTCATTTAGCAGACGTTTACACTTGAGGAGTAGTCTGCCGAAATGCATCGTGTTGTTTAATTTAGAACTATTGGGTTAGTGCTCTTTACTTAAAATAGTTCTTTTAAGAACTATCAACTTATTTTATTACTTTTACCATTCACTAAGGTATTTGATATTTTGGAACTATTTTCTAAATTCAAATAATTGAATAATTAAATTTTGACGTAATTGTGTATTAATGAAAATGTAAAACATACGTTAAGAAGCTTTATTAAGTGAATGTCTTGTTCTATACGATACAATGTTGATATATTAGTTGTTAGATTCTTAATTCTTTGTTTTCATGTAATACAGTTAGCCTAATATTAAACTTCCTGTTTCATTTGAGCCCTTGTCAAGTTAGTAACTTCTGAAAACATTGAAATGGGATTGAGTTGAAGAATATAAATACATCAAATTTTTAGGTATAAAGGAGACGTCCTGTAAAGTGGAAAAACTGGTCACTTCTGGTGGTGGCAATTTAATGATGGAGGATGTTATTTTTGAACTTGGACCTGGTTGTTTAGAAGACAGTACAATGATAAAGTTGGTCAAGGTTAACAATCCAAGCTACATCAAAAGTTTGCTAGACTTGGAACTTCTTCAAAGTAGCATATGTCATCTGCAATGTCTTCCTAACGGCCTACATTTCTTAAAACCTGCTCAATTGCAAATTAACATCAATGGGAAGAGAGGATTCTCAGAAACAGCTTTGGAAAAGATTGTTGCTCTTTATGGATCCCATTCGAATGATAAGCAAAAAATGGAATGGCAACAGGTGGAAGACATTGATTTTAATGAATCAAGGGTTTTGTTAAACATTTACAAGTTTTCTTGGTACATCTTCATTGAAGCTTCTCCTTCACTTATTCCTCGCATTTTATGTCATCTGAACCATTCTTTTCAAGCTTATGCCTATGTATTCCATCGAAGATCATCAGAAATGGGAACATTAGATATCAAAGTTGTCTTTGTCAGCTCTTTCGTGCGTGAAAAGTTAGGAGATTCTCCTATGATAAAATTGGCCAAAGATTGGGAAGACTTCCACGCAAATAATAACAATGAAGATATCAATGATATCAATACTGATCGATATCATGAAATACAGCTAAATTTTCCTGGAAAGGAGCTTGATTCATACACTTTTAAAATAGATATTTAAGAGGCTTGATAGCGATGGTTTTGTTGTTCATCACTTTAAAAGAATTCAAGTAAATTTTCCTGCTAAAGGATATTTGGAGGTGAAAGAAAGTGGAAACAGAAATTCGAAGTGGAAGCTGAATGTTGACGAAGAAAACTCACAGGAAGCCGTGATAAATAAAGGTAGGAAATTGTCTTGTATAGTTCTTCTTTTCCCAATGAACTTAACGAACCTGAGGTAATAATAAGGATAGTAATGATGTAAAAGAAAGTTAAACGAAAAGAAATGAAAGTCTTATTTCCGTGAACCATAAGCTTCTGCGCTGGATGTTTCATATATGATGTATATACTGTGTTGCATTTTCGGACTCCAAACTTTCGTTTATTACGTATGTTCAATACGGTATGAATGACTTAAATTTTCCTTTTGCGAACGACAAATAATTTAAATGCACTGTGTACCAGACGGCAGTGCTCAGCACAACTTGACAAGTCTTTGTTTATCTCAATAAATACTGCGTAGCAGCAAAGTGGCGCAACTCTTTTTATAAAGTGCTCAAATTGATTACATATCATAAGTTTAATATACACGACAACTTTTTTGAAAATAAACATGTTTCGACATCTCATGATGCCATCTTCAGTATGAATGAAATAATAGGTGATACAGGGTTTATATAAAAGTAATATGATAGATAAATTAGAACAATAAAAAGGAAATAAGATAATATAATGAGGAGCGTCCAAGCGTATTATAAACTAAATATTGTATTGAATTTAAAACTTGAACATTGAGGTCAGGGTTAGTTTTGTTAATGTGGAGTGCTTCTTTGATTTTAAGGGTGAATGAGGTGTCGGCAGTGTCGATGATTTTGAAACAAGAGGGTGAATAGTTGGTTTTGCATGAGTGAGATTTAAGAAGGTGTCGGTAGATGTGAGAGTTTTGTCTGTTGTGGTATGTTCCCTGATTCTGGTGGATAAATGGCGCGAAGTTTCGCCAATGTATCGGGAATTACATCCCGCGCAATTGAATTCATATACCACCATAGATTTAATTGAATCAGGGATTGGGTCTTTAAATGAAAAAGGTTTTGATTTTGAATGATGTGAAAATTAGTCGAATGTCAATATCTGTACAGAAGCGTTTCATAATGTTTGTAAGTCTGCGTTGTGTGTGTCGTGAGTAATGTCCGATGTATGGTAGTTTGAAGTATAGAGTTGTTATTTTGGAATTTTCATTTGTGTTGGTTGTGATCGTCGTGTCAGGAGTTTCGGTGTCTAGGTTGAGGTTGTTGCTATGTTTGTTGTCGAGATATCGTTTTACGGTTCTGTTAATAAAGTGAAGTGGGAAAGAGTTTCGTAAGAGAGTGGATGTGATGTTTTTTATGTCTCGTTGAAAGCCATTGTTCGTATTGTTAAGTTTGTATGCTCTGTCGATTAGTGTGCGTATAAGTCCGGTTTTGTATGAAAGTGGTGTGAAACTAAAATAGTTCGTCAGAAGTCCTGTGTACGTTGGTTTGTGGTATGTAGATGTTGTACAGCTGTCGTGAGATTTTGTTAGTAAAATGTCAAGAAATGGCAGTTGATCTTGTTGTTCAGTTTCAAAGAAAATCTAATGTTTGCGTGCTGTGTGTTAATGTAATTATAAAACTTCATGGCCTCAGTTTCGTTAGTAAAAACACAAAAAATATCGTCAACGTATCTGCGGTAAAATAGTGGTTTAGTGTCGTTGTAGTTGTTTAGCCAGTTTCGTTCATGTGAGCCCATGAAAATGTTAGCAAGTATGGGTGCTAAGGAGAGCCCATCGCAACACCGTCCGTCTGGTCATAAAATTTTCCATTAAATAAAAATGCGTCTGTGCTGTTGCTATTAAAACAGTTGTGTGAGGTCGGTCCTGTTTATACTGAACGTGGGGTTGTGAGTGAATATTAAGTCGATTGCTAGGTTGATGGTTTCAGTAAGTGGTATGTTAGTAAATAGGCTTTCAACGTCGTAGGAGATGAAGAATTTGTGACAAGAAGTTGATGAGTTGAAAGATGAGAAGTCGTCGAGGAAAGTGAAAGAATCTTTAGTGGAGTGGTCATCTGGTATGAGTGGTGTTAGTAGAGAACTAAGATACTTAGCTAAATTATAATTGTATGCGTTGATTGATGAAACTATCGGTCGTAGTGGAGGCGATTGTTCTGGTTCTCGTTTCTTGTGAAGTTTCGGTAAGCCATAGAAGCGTGAGGGTTGAGAACCTCTGGGGAAGATATCATTATAAACTTTGTTGCTAATAGAGTCTTTCTTTAGAAGCTTCCTTAACAGTCGTTGTAGTTTGGCTTCACGTGGTAGTGTGACGTCTTCTTTGAGTGGGGTAAACTTTGCTGTATTGTTAATGATTTTAAGGCAGGAGTTACGGTACATTTGACGATCCATGATTACAACGCCGTTGCCTTTGTCCGGTTTGAGAATGATAATGTTTGGATTGTTGCGAATGTTTTAAGAATGTGATGTTTTTGAAGTCAGCTGGTGTTGGGTGATAAGATGAGATGTACGAGTGAGCGATGTGTGCCAGCTCTGTTTTGAGATGCGTGTAGTCTTCTTGATTGCGAATGTTGTGTTTTATAGTTTGGTGGATTTTTTCGAATGTTGCCAGAATGTCGGTTGAGTTGAGTCGCAGTGGTTTAATGCTGAAGCCAAGGCCATTTTTCAGGAGTTCTAGTTCTTCGTCTTTTAATTGGTGTGATGATAAATTGGTTATCGTCTCATTGTGTGTGAATGGTAGGGTTCTGTTCCTCGTGAGATTACTTACTTTTTTCCGGTGTGTGGCAATTGCCTTTTGTAGGTATTTGGTAATGTTTTTTTCTAGAGCTTTGTTTATAATATTCCAGTCGAGAGAGGATAGATTATTCTTTAATTTTTCTGATATTTTTGTTACTTCATTCGATAACTTCCTTTCTTCCTTTGTTCGCTTTTTGATTGCGCTGCGTAATAGTCGTCTGCGTATCGCAAAGCTATCTTGGTTGTTGACATTTGGTAGTGGAAAGCAGAGAAACTTTGGATAAACGCCGAGTGAAAGACAATCTTTAAGAAACTTAACATCTAATTCTGCTTTCCGTTGTTTGGTTTGAAGCTTTTCAAACTTCCGCAATTCTGATAAGGAAACCTTTCCTTCGTATTTTTGTGCTATGTCGTAAATAATGTTTCCATAATTTCGTAAAAGCACTATTGCCAATACACATTTAATATACACGACAACTTTTTTGAAAATAAACATGTTTCGACATCTCATGATGCCATCTTCAGTATGAATGAAATAATAGGTGATACAGGGTTTATATAAAAGTAATATGATAGATAAATTAGAACAATAAAAAGGAAATAAGATAATATAATGAGGAGCGTCCAAGCGTATTATAAACTAAATATTGTATTGAATTTAAAAACTTCAACATTGAGGTCAGGGTTAGTTTTGTTAATATGGAGTGCTTCTTTGATTTTAAGGGTGAATGAGGTGTCGGCAGTGTCGATGATTTTGAAACAAGAGGGTGAATAGTTGGTTTTGCATGAGTGTGATTTAAGAAGGTGTCGGTAGATGTGAGAGTTTTTGTCTGTTGTGGTATGTTCCCTGATTCTGGTGGATAAATGGCGCGAAGTTTCGCTGTATCGGGAATTACATCCCGCGCAATTGAATTCATATACCACCATAGATTTAATTGAATCAGGAATCGGGTCTTTAAATGAAAAAAGGTTTTTGATTTTGAATGATGTGAAAATTAGTCGAATGTCAATATCTGTACAGAAGCGTTTCATAATGTTTGTAAGTCTGCGTTGTGTGTGTCGTGAGTAATGTCCGATGTATGGTAGTTTGAAGTATAGAGTTGTTATTTTGGAATTTTCATTTGTGTTGGTTGTGATCGTCGTGTCAGGAGTTTCGGTGTCTAGGTTGAGGTTGTTGCTATGGTGGATTCCACCAGAATCAGGGAACATACCACAACAGACAAAAACTCTCACATCTACCGACACCTTCTTAAATCACACTCATGCAAAACCAACTATTCACCCTCTTGTTTCAAAATCATCGACACTGCCGACACCTCATTCACCCTTAAAATCAAAGAAGCACTCCATATTAACAAAACTAACCCTGACCTCAATGTTGAAGTTTTTAAATTCAATACAATATTTAGTTTATAATACGCTTGGACGCTCCTCATTATATTATCTTATTTCCTTTTTATTGTTCTAATTTATCTATCATATTACTTTTATATAAACCCTGTATCACCTATTATTTCATTCATACTGAAGATGGCATCATGAGATGTCGAAACATGTTTATTTTCAAAAAAGTTGTCGTGTATATTAAATGTGTATTGGCAATAGTGCTTTTACGAAATTATGGAAACATTATTTACGACATAGCACAAAAATACGAAGGAAAGGTTTCCTTATCAGAATTGCGGAAGTTTGAAAAGCTTCAAACCAAACAACGGAAAGCAGAATTAGATGTTAAGTTTCTTAAAGATTGTCTTTCACTCGGCGTTTATCCAAAGTTTCTCTGCTTTCCACTACCAAATGTCAACAACCAAGATAGCTTTGCGATACGCAGACGACTATTACGCAGCGCAATCAAAAAGCGAACAAAGGAAGAAAGGAAGTTATCGAATGAAGTAACAAAAATATCAGAAAAATTAAAGAATAATCTATCCTCTCTCGACTGGAATATTATAAACAAAGCTCTAGAAAAAAACATTACCAAATACCTACAAAAGGCAATTGCCACACACCGGAAAAAACTAAGTAATCTCACGAGGAACAGAACCCTACCATTCACACACAATGAGACGATAACCAATTTATCATCACACCAATTAAAAGACGAAGAACTAGAACTCCTGAAAAATGGCCTTGGCTTCAGCATTAAACCACTGCGACTCAACTCAACCGACATTCTGGCAACATTCGAAAAAATCCACCAAACTATAAAACACAACATTCGCAATCAAGAAGACTACACGCATCTCAAAACAGAGCTGGCACACATCGCTCACTCGTACATCTCATCTTATCACCCGACACCAGCTGACTTCAAAAAACATCACATTCTTAAAAACATTCGCAACAATCCAAACATTATCATTCTCAAACCGGACAAAGGCAACGGCGTTGTAATCATGGATCGTCAAATGTACCGTAACTCCTGCCTTAAAATCATTAACAATACAGCAAAGTTTACCCCACTCAAAGAAGACGTCACACTACCACGTGAAGCCAAACTACAACGACTGTTAAGGAAGCTTCTAAAGAAAGACTCTATTAGCAACAAAGTTTATAATGATATCTTCCCCAGAGGTTCTCAACCCTCACGCTTCTATGGCTTACCGAAACTTCACAAGAAACGAGAACCAGAACAATCGCCTCCACTACGACCGATAGTTTCATCAATCAACGCATACAATTATAATTTAGCTAAGTATCTTAGTTCTCTACTAACACCACTCATACCAGATGACCACTCCACTAAAGATTCTTTCACTTTCCTCGACGACTTCTCATCTTTCAACTCATCAACTTCTTGTCACAAATTCTTCATCTCCTACGACGTTGAAAGCCTATTTACTAACATACCACTTACTGAAACCATCAACCTAGCAATCGACTTAATATTCACTCACAACCCCACGTTCAGTATAAACAGGACCGACCTCACACAACTGTTTTAATAGCAACAGCACAGACGCATTTTTATTTAATGGAAAATTTTATGACCAGACGGACGGTGTTGCGATGGGCTCTCCTTAGCACCCATACTTGCTAACATTTTCATGGGCTCACATGAACGAAACTGGCTAAACAACTACAACGACACTAAACCACTATTTTACCGCAGATACGTTGACGATATTTTTTGTGTTTTTACTAACGAAACTGAGGCCATGAAGTTTTATAATTACATTAACACACAGCACGCAAACATTAGATTTTCTTTGAAACTGAACAACAAGATCAACTGCCATTTCTTGACATTTTACTAACAAAATCTCACGACAGCTGTACAACATCTACATACCACAAACCAACGTACACAGGACTTCTGACGAACTATTTTAGTTTCACACCACTTTCATACAAAACCGGACTTATACGCACACTAATCGACAGAGCATACAAACTTAACAATACGAACAATGGCTTTCAACGAGACATAAAAAACATCACATCCACTCTCTTACGAAACTCTTTCCCACTTCACTTTATTAACAGAACCGTAAAACGATATCTCGACAACAAACATAGCAACAACCTCAACCTAGACACCGAAACTCCTGACACGACGATCACAACCAACACAAATGAAAATTCCAAAATAACAACTCTATACTTCAAACTACCATACATCGGACATTACTCACGACACACACAACGCAGACTTACAAACATTATGAAACGCTTCTGTACAGATATTGACATTCGACTAATTTTCACATCATTCAAAATCAAAAACCTTTTTTCATTTAAAGACCCGATCCCTGATTCAATTAAATCTATGGTGGTATATGAATTCAATTGCGCGGGATGTAATTCCCGATACATTGGCGAAACTTCGCGCCATTTATCCACCAGAATCAGGGAACATACCACAACAGACAAAAACTCTCACATCTACCGACACCTTCTTAAATCTCACTCATGCAAAACCAACTATTCACCCTCTTGTTTCAAAATCATCGACACTGCCGACACCTCATTCACCCTTAAAATCAAAGAAGCACTCCACATTAACAAAACTAACCCTGACCTCAATGTTCAAGTTTTAAATTCAATACAATATTTAGTTTATAATACGCTTGACGCTCCTCATTATATTATCTTATTTCCTTTTATTGTTCTAATTTATCTATCATATTACTTTTATATAAACCCTGTATCACCTATTATTTCATTCATACTGAAGATGGCATCATGAGATGTCGAAACATGTTTATTTTCAAAAAAGTTGTCGTGTATATTAAATGTGTATTGGCAATAGTGCTTTTACGAAATTATGGAAATATCATAAGTTCCATTGAAGAAAAAGGATTATAATAAATAGACTAAAACCTTTTAAAATAAATCTTGACATAATGTACACCGTACAGATCTGACCCTGTATTTTAGAAGAGCTCAGGTTAGACCATCTGTTTTAAAAGTGCTCGTGTTTGATTACGTTAATTACTATTTTCTTTGTTAGAGTACAGAAGATTAGTCGGAGTATAACTTTTTTTCCTGATAGAAATTATGTTTTTTGCTCCTGGTTTACAGCATCGAAAGTTTTTAAACAATTCAAAAAACATCACCAAGTCCAAGTTCTAATAAAAGTTTCCTTCAAATACAGTCTTCAATCAACCTTTCACATTTACAAATGTTATGAAATATACGAGTTTTTTTCATCACATGTCTAAACAACACTGAATGGTAACATTTGTGGCTGATTTAATCTGTTTTAACCATTGCAGTAAAATTTTCTCACTTTAAAAATTGTACTTGAAGCACATTATCAGTCAGTTAAAATTAAGATGAGACATGAGGTGATAATGACATCATGCAATCTATTTTTTTTTAAGTAACTTTTATTTGTATTCTGCTTGTTTAATCATAAAAACTTCTCAACAAACTATCTTTTGGATATACTGTCATACTTCACGTTTGCACCACCATGCATACACTACCTAGCTAATGACATTGAAAACTATGCAAAGAACGGCCACCATCAAATCGACTTGCTCACTATACTTCAATAAATAACAATTCCTGTTCAAGTAAAATAAATCAAAATCATATGGAAAATGAGCCAATTTGACGATGTGAATTCTCAAAGTACCACAATAAAAAGAAGGCTATATAAAATTTTCCTTATGACAAATGCAGCATTAAATTGCACATTTATTGAACGAACTTCTAAATTCTAAATTTACAGAAAATTACAAGTTTTTTTGAGATCTCTCCTTGCTAAGTATACTGGAGATTACATCTTCAGTGTAACATCATTCAAATGTTCACAAAGGTAATTTTCTAGCTTAGAATGGCATTTTGAAGGTTGCCTATAGAGTAAAAGTTGCTGTAACAGTTTTTTGTACTAGAAAATTTTCCAAAATAGATAAGCAAAAAGCGTTACTAATCGCAAAACATAAAAACAACGACTTTATTCATTGATTTCAATAAATTACTCCAATGATCTCAAAATAGATTAATGTAATTATTTGACTATATTAGAAGAGGAAGCGAGTCCAAAGATCCCATTTATGATCTAAAGTGCGTCTTAATTCGTGATTGGTTAACTGAGTTCATAACATCAATTAAAAAAGTGCACGTGAATCAGTTCAAGGCACTTAAGACGTAAGTCAAAAGATTGAGCAAGAATAACCCTGCTGAAATATCGCTTACGAAACTCAACGGCTGTATCATGTTTTCTCAGATATTATAGCACGGACCACTGTATAGAGGACCGAAACTATAACTTTTAGCGGGGTGGGGGAGAAAGTGTTAATAACGCTGCTGCTGAAATATTGCTTACAAAATTCAATGACTGTATCATGTTTTTTTAGATATCGTATCAGTGACCACTATATTGAGGACCGTAAATATAATGTTTTGTGGGGTGAGGGAAGGGATGTTTAATAACGCTGCTGATTAAATATCGATTACAGAAATCAACGGCTGTATCATGTTTTCTCAAATATTGTAGCGTGGACTTCTATATGGAGAACGAAAACTATAAATCTTAGTGGGGTGGGGGAGGAGGTGTTTACTAAGGCTGCTGATGAAATGTCACTTATAGAACTCAATGACCATATCATGTTTTCTCAGGTATTGTATCACGGACCACTGTATAAAAGACCAAAACTATAACTTTTAGTGGAGTGGGTGAAGGGGTGTTTCTTAAGGCTGCTGCTAAAAATAGTTTATGCGTATATCTTTTCTTTCTCATGATATTGAAGCTTTTATTATGTTCGATTCATCTAACTTGTGACGACACATTGCATAATGAGAACTAGAATTATTTGGTACATTTGCTGATACTTTACTTGAACTTTGCAGAGTTTCTTTTATTGTGATGTGTTAATGATATAAAATACTGCCTACTATTATCAACGTAAAGTTGTCAGGAAAATGAAGTTTATTTAAAACATGGCAGCGACTCATTTTGCATGCAATATGATGTCACAAGTTAGATAAATTGTTAATAGCAAGGACTTCACTTCAGTATTTTTTGAATGAAAGTATCATACATAAAAGGTTTTAGAAAGCATTCATTTCAAAAGTTCAGGTCAATGTAAATATAATTTAACTAGCAAAGTTTTCGTTTCATTGGCACTTTAATGGTGTTCAAACAAGGTTTGAGAGAATAATTGTTTAGTTTTAGTTGCTCATGGAACTTCAATGTTCATATTTGGCATTAAACATAAGATAGTCTATCTAAATAATGAGTGTCGAGAATGAAATGAAAAATTAAATGAAGCTATTTTGTTATTTTCTACTGTACAAATTTTTAGACTCTAAAAACATGCTCTATAAATTTAAATTTAATATTTTCGAAAAACGTAAGGTTATTTCTTAAAAAAAATATATGAAATTACTGCAGAAAAAAGTTTTTGTGATCAATTGTATGGTATAAGCTAACCTCAAATGTTGCCAGATTTGATTGTACAATTAAAGAACTTATGATTTGTCTAATGGTTGTTGATAAGTTTTTCAAAATGCGCGGTAGCTAAAATATCCTTTCCTGATTGGGAAAGTTTAAGCTTTTTGACGTATTAATTTCGTTTCTTTCACCCTTGAATGTAATATTTTCTAATTTTTTAGAATTGGTGTTGCAAGAGTGGAAATACATTGATGAATCAACGAAACATAAAGAATTGTTTTAAAATTGATTGAATATGGACGCAATTCCAGTGTTGAGGTTAAAGAGGCGGGCAATGTACGAGTAATTTTCTCAGAAGAGTTTTGCATTGGCAAAGGAAGTGATGGAACACGTGTTTATCTTGGACTGGGTAAGGATGGTTACGGTAAAGCAGTGAAACAAATACGTCGAGATAGTTACATCCAGCGTGCGCTGCACGAAAAGGAAATTTTGAATGAATTCAACGCAAGAAGGTCGAAATATGTTGTGAATTATTCTTTCCTAGAGGAAGAGACTGGAACAGAATATGTATATTTGATATTAGACTTATGTGAAGAATCGTTGGACAGTTTTGTCAAGTCTTCTACTTTACAAGATCTTCAAAAAGCTCTTCCCAAAATTCTCAGACAAATTTTGCAAGGATTAGCTGATCTTCATAGCGGCCCAAATCCTATTCTTCATCGGGACTTAAAGCCCGCCAATGTTCTCCGAGACACACAAGGCAACTTTCTCATAGCTGACTTTGGCATTAGTCGAATATTGGAAAAGGATTCTACGACACATAATAGCAATCCTAACATGGGAACTGAGTATTGGATTGCTCCTGAATCATATTGTGAAGATGAAGATACAGTTAATACGGGACGGTACAAGAAAACGTCTGATGTAATGGTAAGTGCATTTGCAAGTCATGCATATATACAATCAATTTTGTGACTTTACATTGTGAATCTTTTTAGAATGCAGGAATGGTAGCTTATTATATTGCAACAAAAGGAAAACACCCGTTTGGAACTAAACCCCGTAGACTGATTAACATGTTAGATGGAAAACCAGTTGGCTTGGAGGAAATCAAGGATGAAACATTGAAAGACCTTCTATCGTGGATGTTAAACCGAGAACCCAAAGACAGACCATCGGCTACCGTGGCGTTAAAACACCCATTTCTTATGTCAGATGACGAGAAATTTGACTTATTATGTAAAGTTGGAAATCTTCAGCAGATTAAGACAAATGATCCCCTGTGTAGTGTCGTTCAACAATTGAATAGTGAATCCTCAGATTGGAGAAGCCAAATGGATAGTGATGTTTATGATTATTTGGTGAATAAAAGAACCTATAACTCTTCATGGACAGATAGTTTAAGTCTTATTCGAAATATTGACCAGCATTGGAAAGATCGACCACGACCTCTACCACAACCAGAACCATTTTATAAGATTGGCGATTACAGGGCGTATTTTCTCCGAACATTTCCTAATCTCCCTGTTCGGGTACATGCTGCTGTCAGGTCAAATGAAGAATTGAAGAACGAGCCAGAACTCAAGAACTTTTTTCCTTTTGATGAATGCAAACTACATCAAAAAAAAATTTAGATACAACAGAACCTGTTGGGAGTAAAAAAGTAGCAATTAAGAAATCATTGATAATGTTGAGATCTTATTTTGTAGATTTAAAGAAAAACAGTTTTCACGACGTATTTAGATGATATTTCACCCCGTTTCTGGTGAATGTATAGCCTGTGGTATTCATTTATACAATGTATATATTTAATTTTTACTGTAAACTGTTTTGGAAAAAGACTGAAGGTGAACATGACTTTAAAAGTTAACTTTTATGCTTGGCTGCACTGATAAAATTTGCTCTACATTCATCCAACATAATAAACTCGTATACGATAAATAATTGTTTTTCTGAAATTATTATAATTACTAAAAGTCTGGCCTTGGTGTATTGGGCTCTTGGGAATTCCTTATTGTATAAATCTGACCATTAGAAGTTGTGCATAATTCCATAAATAGAATCTTTTGTGTTTTACTATCTCACATTAATTACGTAGCTGTCAATATAAAATAGTTGAATTCAATAACATTTTCATGAAATTGAGTGAGTGACAGCATTTCGTCTAATGTTTTGTGTATGGACTCAATAATATTTGAATTAGTTTTATATAAAAATATTCATAGTTGTCATTATTTTCTGATATTTTGCTTATTTCATGCGCTGTAACCCTGACACTTATTTCGTGCCTAAATCCATACAACTAAAATACAAGTGCTATGTATTTAAGATTTCTTAAATGAATATTGAATATACACCTAAATACACGTAAGGTTAACTACGGTGCTCTCTGTTGCCTATATTCTAAAAACTCTCTCACAGTCATATTTACTGAGTAAAGTTTCAAATTAATCTTATAACTGCTAGAAGACCTTGTATTTATTCCACAGATAGAAAATAGTGCAAAGTTATGTTGATTTTATCATCTCAGATCCCATATCATCTGGTAGGTATCCGCACATCAATGTCACATGAAAGCACTCAGTAATAGTTGTGCGACAGTTTTAGTTTAAAGTTTTGTAAATCATTTATAAAAATTTTGAGCTTTTGGGCTTTTTTTATTTTATTGAATTAACATCGCAAAGAGCATACTATAAAAACAAAAGAACGTAAATAACTTCTAAATGACAAAGAGCAATGCTACAGCCTTTAAAATATAAAAATTTTCATCTCATAGGCACTTTAAACGTCATAAGTAGTTGTACATTTCCAAGTATAACATTGGGTTGAATTGTAAGGGATATTCTATACCACTTAGTAAATATGTATGCTTTATAATTTATGAAGCAATAGATAAAGCTGATAAACCACCTGCTGAAATTCACTATCCCCCAGCTACAGGACCACCTTTCACTTGAGGGAAACGAATGTAAATTATAATCCCATTTTCCCCCAAAATTGGGTGGAATTATCAATAACCATAATTGAACATTTTTTGAAAGCCAAAATTTAAATTAATCAAATAGAAGCATTCGTATGTACTATTATTTGAAGCATTCGTATGTACTTTTATATGTCAGGAAAAATGGCTATTCTTTTCTACACATAAACTACGTAAAAAGAAATAAATCATCTTCTATACTTTAATAACTTCTTCCGAGTGAATGAATTTCAAAAAAATTCGTTTTCAGACTGGACCACATACATTTGCCAATAAAATTATAACTGAGAACATAATTATTTTAAATAAATGTATAGCCATAAATGCCTTTCCTATTACAATGTACAATTTGAGATGTTTACGTCAGAAATTTTTTAAAAACTTCAACCATAATATTGGCATTTTTGACACAAAAACAGTGTATTAGCAATCGAGCCCAAAGACTAAATTTTACCGCTCCTAAAAGATGTGTGTGACATTTTTGGTAAGTTAGAGCAGTTGAGAATAAATTAAACAGATCATCTATTTGTAAAATAATTCAGAAATTTTATCTTCAGAAGATTGTCAGACGATCAAAAAAGGCTCAAAGTCAGACGGTCAAAAATGGTTCATGTTCATGTTAACTTTATCGGGAGCACGTACTCTAAACAAGTTCTTTTACAAAATGAATTCTGTCTTTAGTTTTGATGATTGTATATAACATGAAATAGAAGTTTAGTCTCTTACGAAGGTCAGTGTTTTTTTAGACTTAACCGAAATAAAAAATCCCTAATGGCAAAACCTGAACGGTATATACCAAAACCGAGCGCGAAGGCACGAGAACTTGGAGAATACTGAACAGGAAAAAACCACTAGGGATTTTAGCCGAAATTTCGCGCTCCGGGGGAACCCTTACAAACAATAATTTTCACATACCTTTGAAGCAATTCAAAAAGCCAAAACGTCAAAAAAGTAAAAGAGAAAAATTAGAATGCACTTTCAAGATTGAAAATATGGTCTTGAAGGTATATAGACATTTTTGTAAAATTCTCCATTTTTAACGAACACGGAATTCGCCACAGTTTACCGACACAGAAATCTATCATCGAACTTAACAATTTTCTACTTTGAACGAGAAAATTGTTTTTGATGGGAATTTCGTAAAACGTGTGCTTTTTAACATCTAATCCATATCCAAGTCGTATCTAGCGCAACTCAAGCGTCCCTATTTTGCACCATTTCATTCAGTGCTTTGCGCGCCCGGTGTCACTAACGCCTAAAATTTTAGAGCCAGCGTTTGCTTCACGACATGGATTAGATAAAAGTACTTCAAGTATTATGTAGAGCCGAACGAGGTTGACTTGTGCAAACACTCATATTAGAAAAATAAAGTCAATATCGAAAAACAATATCAACAGTGATCACCTGAAGAAGCACACGTTGAGTTTGGTTACCGAGGGACTGGGGGTAGTTTAACCAAACAACCGCTGGCGCTTGATTTACGTTATGCTTTATTTTGACGTTTATCACATACTTGACTTTGATAGCAACTGGATTTGGTGAACATGGAAACCTTAGCTACTATGAAGTAAAATATGTAACAACGTCTGCGACCTGTCTTCATACTAACCATTAAAGAAAATAAACAAAGCACTTTTATTAAAACTATGTCTCTCTTTAGGTTTTTTTGAAGACATTCCACATACCTTTACCTGGTGTAATAATCGTTTATTTTATGCTCGCTTGCACTGTGGAAAAAAGTATTGAAATTCCCAGGAATGAAATCTTCTTTAATGAAGACAACATACCACTTATAAACATTTACAGTAATTATTGCCACGCCGCCCCTAAACTGTAAATGTCTTAACAATCAGAATACTTTATAAGTTTCAATTTGTCGAAGTGAAAATGACCGACAGAAAAATCGGAAGTTTCTTCCAAAAATTTTTATTTAGTCATTTCTCTCTATAGTGGGGTTTGTCCTTTAAATTACTAAAGGTACTAACTACACTTTGGTTATCTGAACGTAGCAACTACTCGCCGTAACTACAGCGCATGCCTGAGCTATCTAAACTTTCTACCTGCGCATGGCACCGATATTCCGCCCTGAAAAGGAATGCCAATTTAAGGAGGTAACCCATCATGCACTAAACTTAACCTAACCTGGTACATGTCGCAACTACGGGTGACCTCCAACCGGGGAGGGTTGAACTACTCATGCATTATAGGGGATCCAAGAGTGCCTTAATAGTCAATGTAGAAAGCCGTTCATGAAATTGGCCAACAACAAGGACTGCATGCTTTTACCGTACTAAGGGAAAGACATTTTTTCTTTCCAGCAAAATCACCATCTTTCCTTTGTCTTCAATAGGTCTTGCTCGCTAGATCCAGTCTTCTCGGGTCTTACAGATGCAATTTTCATCCTCTACGCTAAGGTACCATTTGTACCTACTAACCCCAAGTAGAAGTTGCCTTCCTTTGGCCAAACTTCACTTGCATTTCCGATCTAAGCTACATGTGATCCTATCTATCCTTCTGCGAGGCAACGCCCGGGGCAAGCATACGTAGCTACTTAAAGCAGTATATTCACAAAGAGGTTTCCGAAGATAAATCGAGTAAAGCGACACAAATGCATGTCAATAACAGGCTAACAACCGCTGATACAACTTAATGTTTACTAATTCATACACAAATTTTAATAATGAGCTCCAGAACACAAATAATTTTTGGAGTGAAACTGAAAAAACTTTTAAAACCTCTTAATGAAGACTATTTTTGAAATGCAGGAGGAAACTACTATGAAAATGTGTAATTAATTTTATACCTGCATTGAAAAAAATAGCCCTTAGTGAAATATACTGCGCACTGGGATTTGTTGTGGCTTTTGCCCTTTCTGTAAAAAGGCATGGCCTGTTAGCAGGCTAAACTACGTACAAAGCATAATGTAAACTCACGGTTTTCGAGAAATCCGTTGCCAAGTTTAAGGAAAAAACGATGAATCCAATTTTCCGGTTACCTGACAAACGTCCTCCGTTTCGTGTCGACGACGGCAAGCACAGAAGCAAGATTGGCCATTTCTTGCAACTGTGTATGTCGTCTACGGCATGAAAACGGAAACATTTACAGATAGTCAGAAAACTAGTATTTTTACTTTTGTTTTGCATGCTGAAAAAATTCCATGTTTTTATTAGGAAATTTTTTTAATCAATTAATGTCGAAATTGGGCTGCTCAATGGTGGTGTGGTTTTATTCATCTGCAAAAGAAAAACTATGTTAAATTACTCATTCAGTTTACTTAAATAATTGATTATGGCTTTAAGGATTTGTGGAATTTTTTGCTCTTGTGAATAGTGTAATAAGAATATTATTCTTACCATGATATTATTGATATATCGTCGTATATAGTTCGCATGTCTTTAGGATTGGCGGATTAACCAGTGGGAATCGTATCTTAGTTAGATATAATACCCAGGATAGTAACGTTTTGAACTGCCATAGTCCAATAGTCCAATAACCTCGGTCATATTCCAATAAAACAGGGACTTGTTTATGGACATAAAAGTTTAGCTGATGGAAGCATTGCTTGAAAGCAACATGTTCTATTTGCGTTTGTAGTATACGTATGTAGACGGATTGATGGACAAAAGAAGTCTTGTCTTTTCTAACATCATTAAAGTATATACTGTTTCATCCTTGATGATTGTTCGGAGGACTTCCCAGCTGGCAAAATCACGTTGTCTCAACGTTGTACCAACGAACGTTCACTCAACGTCGGAGACCAACGTTGAGTGAACTTTTTTTGTGAACTTGTGAGAACGTGGTGGCGACGTTAGGATGAACGTTGGGATATAAAGTATCTTCAAACTAAACCCAACGTTCATCCGACGTTCATAAGACGTTTATCCGACGTTTATACAACGTCCATCCGACGTTCATACAACGTCCATCCGACGTTCATAAGACGTTTATCTGACGTTCATACAACATATATCAGAATTTCATACAACATTTACCTGACGTTTATCCGACGTTCATTTAACATACAATTAATGAAGCATTATTTGTGAAATCATAAAACAGCCTTTCCAATGATACGAACTAAAGTTTAATTTCCATATAATCAACTTTTAAAACATCTGTGCGTGTTTTAATATAAATATTTACAAAAATGCTAACTAAGCCGATTCCAATAAGTTGCCTTTTCGGACCTGCAAGAAAGTAACATATATAATCATTAGAAAATGGGAGTCTATATATCATTTTTATATGTCTTACCACCTACAACAACATTGACATACTTGTCTGTAAAAGATGCCATTTAAATGGAAAACTGAATCGCCTGCTGTATGTATATCTTCTCAATTTAATTTATACAAACAAATGAATCAAAGTATTTTTTAGTTTTATTCACTTAAAAGCAATCGAATAAATCCAATTATATGAATGCCACTACGTACGTACGTCGGATATAAGAACTTATCTCGCGCTACAACGTCATCTCATACGCACGAGAAACAAAACAAGTGAACAAGACTTTAATCGTTACGGCACCTTTTTCACATTTAACCAACACTGTCTTTTTTATATAAATAATAAAACAATTACTGAATTGGGTTTTCACGTAATATAAAGAATTATCTAGGCATCAATGTGTTCTATCTGCCTCAGCGTTGGTACATTAAACAAACCTTGGCCTTCATAAGTCTTAATTCATATACTATTTCATTCAATAATTGTTTAATATCACGATAAGCAAATTCTTTATAACAAATCTAATCATGCAGTTTGAGTTAACAAAATTTAAAACTTGCACAAATCTAATACCTGCACTAAAATGAACGTTTTTTAAGGTACGCATTATGTATATGTGTCCATTCCATTTTGCTTTACTTATAATTGAAGGACAATGAAAGACACATGCTCACTTTCTTTAAGTGCACATGCCAATAATGTTATTGTGTATTTTTCTCAACTTACACAGACAAGAAAATACAAACATGCTAACTATGAGATTACGGAGTAAAATAAGTTGAGTTTACCCTGTCTAAGTTGAGAAAATCAAACAAAGAAAAAATGGCATCTATATACTTTACCCAGCAATCTATGATGATAATGACATGTTACCTTAAATCTGGAACCACCTTGCTTGCCTAGAGCATATTTTAAAAATTCGGCAATTTGCTCTTCAACCTTGTCCTCGCTGCATCCTTTATGAGCTTTGACGAGGCTTCTAACAAGTGAAATGAAACAGAAAAGACATACTTTATATAAATTGCATAGATAAAACACTAAATCATTTTTGTATGTTGAATGATAAACAACAATTCATTATAGTGACATATGTAAAACAGTCTAATGTATTAGCTTTTAAAACTTGCAACAAAATTTCTTATGACAAGGAGCAACATAAATGGCTGTTTTTCCAAGTCATGAACGAGAAAAAAGAGACAAAACATAGTACTGCTGCAGCAATCATCATCGTTTAATTGTGCTTACTTGTTATAACTTTGCAGAAGGCAAGGTGCTGAAATAGTCGCTTTGACTTTCTGCCTTTTAAACTGTATTGGGACCATAGATTATTTGTTTCCAGCTTTGTCATAATTCTTCTAACACTGTTTGTACAGGTGTTTGCGCACAGTGCTACCAAAAAAAGCAGCTAGTAAAGAGAGTAAAAGATAAATTATATGGAAAAGTTCAATTTAGACATATATATATAACAATTTTGATCTCGAATTGCAAAATAAAACCATCCAAAGTGAATGGTGAGAGCTTTTAGAAAAACCAGTTTCTTCGTTAAAATTTTTCAGCACAAATAAAACGACACACTCCTAAGAGCCTTTTGAAGTACCGTAACGTATTTAAATCACGACAATGCTCTCACGAAAACACGATGCTAGATTTATATAGTTTAATCAGAAAATCTGAACCCTAACGTCATGAAAATCGTCATTAAAATTACGTTTCAGACTTTGACAAACGTGCATATTTTCAAGCTTCAAACACAAATGGTAGAAAAAAAGTCAATATTATGTTACGTAATTGCAAATCAAACTATCGTTTTCACGTTTTCAAACCGATAAAGGGAAAGAGTTATGCCTTCCTTTGCACATTTTTTTTACGTAACACTTGAAAGAGTCATGCATGAAAAATAGGCCGTGACAATAAATATTACTGACTACGTATGGGTGGTTAACTTTCCAAAACTTACCAACTTTCTACTCGACTTTTCTTCATCAAGACTAGAAGATAGGCCTTAAAGTTCTTCAACCCAATCGAAAGGAGTACGTACAACATCTTCCAAAATTTCGTGCTCGTCTACACCTTTCTTATTGCTTAACAGAGCACGCAATACTGACAACGCTTCTTCTTGCTTATCAATTAATAATTCCAGTTTGGCGAGAACTGATCTTTGGAAGCCTACAAGATAGATAAGAAAATAATAGAATAACTTATGTATAACCTACGTAATATCTTAAAAATATAAAACCTTACAACATGCTAACAAGAAAATTCAAATAAAACTTGCATCAAATTACTAATTGAATACGCATACATAATAACAACGCTATTCAAAAACTATATACTGTAGAATAGGTACCATTAATGGTTGATTGAGAACGTCTTCCTGCAGGTGTTATGTTCATAAAACTTGTCGAAGGCGTTTCGTGCGATGAAAGGTCATGCGCATCTACAAAGCAATCACGTGTTGCAGTCAGTTGTGAAGAAAAAACATTTCAAACGACACGAAATGAACGTAAATGAAAACGTAACAACAAGACATGCAATAATGAATTGTAAGAAAAGCTTGCCTAAGACACCACTGTTTCGTTGAGAATGTCTTTCTCTTGTTGTGCCAGTTGTAGGAATTCCTTGTGAAGAGACGTTGCTTGTATCTACAGAGAAGACACGTACTGGGTTTAACATATATCTTTATTGAACGCACGAACGTCATTTAAATTAAAGCACTACAAGTTTCAAAATCAGAAACAGAAAGGTGACTAAAATAAAACCTCGAGAAAGTTTCATTTAGTAGTTTGATAGCAAACGCTGGCAATTAGATTTGAACGAATGTATTTTGATTAAATCGTGGTGAACACAACTGCAATTTTAATTATAACAAATATTTTTTCAACTAATTACAACAACATTTTAAAGGACCAACGCCTACAGCACCTGTAGAACATACATAAGCCCTATAATGCAACGATGGACGTTGAAAAACAGTAAATGTACAATACGAATTTTAAAGTTATTTAAAAAGAATCAATCAAAATTATTTCAACATTTTAGTCGACATATTATATGAAAGTTGTTGATTAGTCAGTTCTGATGACAGAAAACTTACCACTACGCTGAGATGGTGTCCTACTAGTAGATGGGAAAGTTATTGCATGATCCTTTGTGTTTAGGATTTCTGGTGCTAGTTCACCGTCATATAAAGCTAGATCAACATTATACTAGTATGAAAAGAGAAATTTTATACATGCATGTTTCTGTCAAAAAATTGTCCTCTTGTAAGGATTATAATAGCGCTTATACCTTTTTCTGCAAGGGAGATCAGCTCGCTGTAAACCGGCAAATCTAAAAAGCAAAATCACACATTACATTTAAATGCAACGTAGCAATATGTAAAAAACTGCACTCCTTTGAATAAAGCAATGGCCTATTGCATTTCAACTATAGTACTTACTTCTAGAATTTGTTGATAAGATTTCATTGACGGCTGAAAGAAATTTTGCCTGTGTACAAAAGAAACTATATGAATTCTGTAGCTTTCCATCTGTCAACTTCCATTAAACTCCTAGGTTTTCGCACAAATGTAGAGGGGATAAATGGTTTAAGCTCCACCAATTTTTTACTAACAGCCTCTACATGAGCAACAAACAATTTAGCAGCGCAATTTCCCTTCATCCAAACCAAAATCAATTTCCACATAACACCCAGACACAGTTGATACATGTAGTCAAATGGAAATTGTTTTACCATATCAACAGGCAAGTTAAAGAAAGGGCTAAAAAAGGGATGATGTTCTTCTTGTATCTGCTTTCTAAAGGAAATATTAGTGCACAATTCCATATTATTATTTTGAGAGTAAGTCACTTGACCAAGCCACTTCCATTTTTGTGTACTCTTGTCACAACCAAAATAACCAGTACAAAGTTTTATACCTTTAACAAGTGCTCTTGCAGGAGCATCACAAACAATGCCCCTTACTGTAACAGTCAGAACCTTTTCCCCATCTTGGACTCCCCTCTGTAGAATATCGTTCAAATCTTCTATAAACTAATCCAAAAACTCCAAGTCTTTTGGCTTGAAGTCACCACATGTTAGGACAATAGGAAACACTACAACAGGTTTGATATTCAAAATGGCACACAACCCTGGCCATACATTTTTTGCAGGACTTTTAAACAAAAGAAGCCCATCAACATTTAAAGAGATTTCAAGATGATTAATGTTCTTAACTGTTTCACAAGGATGCTTTTGAAAGTGTTGTAACAATTGTTCACCAAAAGAAAAGTACATGTAATCCATGCCAGATTTTTTCTGAATAGGAATACATCTTGATGTATGCAACAAAGTGCGAGCACAACTAGGCAAATTTGGATGACCATTATCCTTAGGAAGAGCAAGCAAACCATCAACAGCATTTTGCTTAATTGAGTACTCATTCACCCAATCAACTAACCCATCTTGAAAAGAAACATTTAAACTATCATCTTCAAAATCAGAAGAAACAGAAAAATACCTTTCCCCAATGTCTGCATTCACATGGACCAAAGAATCAGCTTTTCCATGGCAAAAAGAAACATCTAAAATATCAACTTCACCAGAAACAGCACGGTCATTTTCCCCAATATCACAATCATTAAGACCAACTTGCAAAGAGAAAAAACTTTGTTTAGGACTTGTAACGGTTCTAGCTAATTTTTGTAAAGGTTATGAATGTTCACGGTCATTATCAAAAACATTATTGAACAGATTACTACAGCTTGAAGCTCTATTAGCAAAAGTCCAGTTTTTTCTGTATTGCACCTAGTCACGTTTCATTATGATATGAACTAAAATAAATAATAAAATGTAACTGTCACTCTATTTATTTTTGATTGATTCAAACATATCCCAATGTTACAACCCATTCCCCCTAAGTGCTGGTGATCACAACATTTAGTAAAATGTTTTAATAAAAAAATGATGAATCTCATTCACAGGTCATGGTAACTTATAAGTCTCCTCAACCATTTGTAACTTATTCTCTTCTTTACATACATGTATCATAACTAATTAATACATAACCTTAAAATTTTAAGTATAACATTATAGTTTACTTGCTAACAACAGCAAATGGAAAATGTTCTAAGCAACTAAATAGGAATAATTTAACTGACATTGCAAGCTTACTAACCAAATAGGTTAAGTTAATAAACCAATCTAAGAGATGAAAAAGTGGGTTGTAAAGTAAATATTGTCTTGAATGCAATAATTCGACAAACGATACTTACTAGTATTATAAAGCAACCATGCATTGTTCTTACCTTCACTGTTTAAAAACTGCTGTGATTTGCAATAGAAACTACAACTATCTTAAGGTTTAAGGCTACGTGATTCTTAATCAAAAACATTTTGTAAATCACATAATCACATTACCCCATGTTAAAAAATTCAATGATCACAAAAAATTGTAATCATTAAATTTGATAAGTTATTTTTGATAACTATAAACATCAGTTGCGTGAATGATTTGACATACCCTAGATCCGCCCCTGCATGTTATGACAATAAAACCATACGTACTGATGAATACCATATCCAAATGCTGTAGCAAGGTGTAGTGATAATATTATCTTTACAAAATAAAATAGAAATTAAAACTAAGTATAAACTAAGCTTAGTAAATTTGTTTGTTCCTACACCAATATACCCGGACTCATAAAGTCACGACAAAAGTAACATACGACAATCTCTAGATTATAAAGAATGATAAAATAAAGGTACTTACCAAAATTTTTACGCATTGAAACATATTCTAGATCATAACTGCCGCTAAACTTGGAAAGCGAGCCGTGCATTATCTTGTCTTGAGAACTATTAGGCAAATTCAATTCTTGCACGAGCGATTTTCAAATGAACACGAACGCCGATATTTTACAGGTATCGAAATAATTTTAATGTAAAATTGATTTAAAGAACTTGGGTTATCCATGACAGATATTTGAAATAAGTAAAACGTCGCCAAATGTCTTCAATATTTGAAAATCCTTGTTTGCAAACGTTATCCGCCAAACATTTTTATAGTAATTTGTTATCTCTAGTGGGTAACCGGAAGTGCATTTTGCATATATAATATAGGCTTCACATTTAAAAAGAAAAGCTCAAAATAATTCGCGATTTCGCTGCCAAGCAAGAACCCGATGTAGTGTTCATCGCAGAAACATAGCTTGCATGATACTATTAATCTTGAGATATCTAAGTACAACATTGTTTATAAAAACAAAGCTTTTGGACCACATGGAGGTGGGTTAAAATTATGCCAATCAACTAGTTATAAACTGATTAGTTAATTCAATTACGGCAATGGACATTTTTATATTCTTGGTGTGAAGTCGTTTTGAATTATGCTTTTAATAGACTTAACTTTTGCCATCTTACGGATCAATTCTGATTACCAGAAACAGCTTGAAATATACCTAAATGATACAACCAAACATCGGACATGATCTTAACAAATCTTTATAGTTTCTACAATAAGAATTCTATATCAACTTTCCTTCATTCAATTTATCAAAATATGATGTAATGTTATCTTTTCAAGGCGTGAAATTTACTTTTCCCAACATTTAAGCCAACGAAGGCCTGTTTAGTTATATTCAACTTAAACAATCAAATGAAACAAAACTTCTACAATCTGATATTGTGAATTTTTATGTATAAGACCAACTCTTAATTATGGAGCTAAGGTTTTTTTTAACAAACTCCCAAAATACTAAGGAAACGGTAATAAAATTCGAACATGTTAATAAAAACAATAAAAATCATAAGGCCGTATCTTTGCTTTACATAACAATTGACTTTTAATGTTTTAAATTCAGTTGCACAAAATAATTTGCCACGTATCAACTCAACGGACGAAGCCATTTGACGCTTAACTTATCAGAACGTTAAGAAATCTGAAAGATCGAATGTTCAAAGCTTCACCTTCGACCAGTAAAAGGTTTGTAAGACAAAAGACAAAGAATTATGGTGTGTGTAAACGATGTATAAATGAGATCTTACATAGAAGTTGTTCGTCAAATATAATTAATACACTTTTAATAAATATTAGTCTCAACCTAGTACTATAAAATATACATCATAGATACCCGTAGCAACTTGTGATCCTGTTGTTGTATACAAACTAAACAAAGTTACAAATACAAACAATTTGCTTACAAAAAAATCACTGTCATCTGAAGGAAGGCGTGTTTATCATAATGTGCTTGCTTGTTAAGGAATTTAAATTGCTTGTTAGCATGCAATTATAGTTATCTTTGGGTGCGGATAGTATATTTATAAAATATGTGTTGTTTCATTATACTTGTGATAATATGAAATGACATTTATGAATCAGGAAGAAAATTTGGTTTGAAATTGCAAATGACTCATGCATGCCATCGTTGAATATTTTAAACATTTAGTCGTTTTGTCGTTTTGTGACGTTGCAAATATCTTTCGTCGAACTGTTGACGCTAAGGTGATACATGAAAATTCATAGCATTAAATAAATAAACCTAAAAATCTTTGATTTCTGATTTGTAAACAGAGCTTTTGGACCACATTGTGGTGTAAAGCCGATATTCTTTTATAATTATGCCACGTTTGAGGCTCTTCTGGTTAAAATTAGACCGATTAACAAATTATAAACTAATTATTCAATTCAATTACAGTAATGAACATTTTTATAATCTGTGTGTAGAATCGTTTTGACTTGTGATTTTGATAAACTTAACTTTTGCCACCTTACGATGAAATTCAGATTACCAGAAACAGCTTGTAGTTAAATATACCTAAAAGATACAACCAAACATTGAACTTGATGGTAACAAATCTGTATAATTTCTACAAGACTACAACAAGAATTCTCTATCACATTCCCTTCACTTGATTTATCAGAATATAATGAAATGTCACCTTATCCAGCTGTGAGATTTACTTTTCCCAACATTAGAGAAAACAAACGCATATTTTAGATAAGATATATTCTATTTCACGAAATGAGGATCTTGTAAAATACAGTATATATTGAGAGACAAAATACAGAGGTCATTCGTTTACGAATGACAAACAAGAATAACAGTAGGGTCCAGGCCCTTATTAATCAACGATTATCCCATTATGCTCTATCCCCCTAAGTCTTTTCTAGTATAGGAAAACGTAATATAAAGTTGTTCTTTGATATTTGTTCATCCTCTCAATTTTCTAACAGCCCTTTCTTGTTGAAATCGAGTAATCTGCGTAGAGCTAGTGTTGCTTTCTTGCTAGGCTTTGTGGTCGCTGGTGTAGGTTCTCTGGCATCCTCATTTATCTTGGTTACGTTTGATGAAGTTCCATCTGCGGTATCTATGTTCGGTAGTGGTGCTGGCTCCAGGGTATCAGTCTGTGTCGTCGGTCCTAGACGTGGAAATGACGATGTTGGTTTTCTGTTGGCTGGTGTCAATTTGCTGGGAGTAAGGTTCTCCATTGAGACTTTTGGTATCAGCAGCAGGTCCGTATCAATAGTATATTTGGGTGGCCGCTCTTGTACAGGTGTGAAATGCCGGAAAAATTTTTTGTGTCTTAGTGTAATTCTGTTGGACCAGTCGACTTTGACGCGGTATTAATCGTGTTAAAGGACTTCGATGACTGTTCCAGTCTTGTCCCATTTCGTAGGGTACAGTCCTGTTTGGTTCTGTATTCTTACAGGTGGTAATCTTCTTGTTAGTTCTGACCAACGTTCCGCCTCTCTCATGTGCCGGTTTCGTAAAGCCTCCTCTCGAGCATCGAGTGTTTCGCTCCAGGTTGCGTGTGGCCTATAACGGCCTGGAGAAATTGGTATGAAATCCTTAATGGGTCAACCGAAGACGCATTGGCCGGTGATAATTTCGTATCAGTATCGGGCGTGTTACGATATTGTAGAACAGCAATTTGTAAGGCGTCTGTGTTGAGGCTACCAGTGGGGCCGGTATTGTTCGTGATGAGGCGTTTCACAGTTTTAACGGCAACCTCCGCGCGGCAATTTGAGTGCGAGAATGCAACGGAGACGAGGCGGTGGTGTACTCCCCATTGTTTGAGGAACTGCCGTATTTTGACGGTGGTGAATTCTGGTCCGCCGTCAGTAGCGCATTTGTCTGGCATCCCAAAGGTGGTTTCGCACAATCTGTGCGAAGTGCTGGTTCACTTTTCTAAAACTTCACACTAACGATGGGACTGTATTTTTGACACTTCAATAAGTTATTTACAGTGTTGTGCACGATTTTACGTTCCAAGCGTTGGTTCTTCGCGATACGGAATGATTTAATTTGATCTTGTTAAGATTACGGACAACCGCCAATCCTAGAATTGCGTTTTCGAAATTTATTGCCTTCTGCAATACGACTCTATATCATCAAATTTGTATGACCAGGTAATACACCAATAACGTCAACTTTTCCGAACCCCTAAACCAACGCTTGCAAGCTATATTTATGTATAATTATTCGAAAGTGGTTTTTGGGCGTTTACACATGACGCGCAACTTCGCCATTCCGTTTCTCCCTACATCATACCGCAATGGCGCATTGCGGTGAGGAAGTGCATGTTCTCTTAACATGACATATCTTATAATCTATAATAAGACACAGTCACACTCTACATAATTTAACATGACAACTTACAACACACTCCCCACCTTTATTAGTCCCACTAATCAAGCATACTCTGTGTCTTCCATACAGAGTCAAGAGCAGCGGCTCTCTTGCGTCTACCCTCATGTTTTGCCTCCCTTCCTCTCAGTTCTTTTTCATTCTCTTTTTGCTCACATTCCCTTTCGTCGTGCTTTAACTCGGTAGGAAAGAGCTTTTGGACGGAACGATTGAAGTGAATGACTTTCCGTTCTTAACTAGCCTGACCTTAGCGCCTCTTACCACCCCATCTCTCCCTAAAAACAATTCCTCTATTCCTCTGGTTCTCGCCGTCTTCTTTGTTGATCTTCGTCCTTCTCCCCAACTGATAATTTGTGGCATTCCCGCATATCCACTTCGACTTGCAACGCGTCGACAAAATCTTTCATGCCCCACTCTAAGTAGTCTCTTCCCCTGGTAATCGTCAGTTTTAATGAGTCCGGTATTTTTGTTAGAAGATTGGGCACGACTATCTCGCAATACGTCTCCTCCTTTGCACCGAGCGCCTTGAGTCCTCGATAATTCGTTTCCACGGCGTCAAAGAACTTGCGCAGCCTCGTCGTATCATTCTCGTTGTATACGGGCTTTAAGTTCATCATATCATTTACATGTGTCCTTTGCACCATCACTTTGTTCCCGTATCTCCGTTCTAACACTTTCAGGGCTTCTGCATAGTTGATCGAAGTCAGAGCAAGTCCTGAAATTGCTGACTTGGCCGGCTTCTCCACCAGTCCCCTCAGATAGGTGAATTTGTCGACCTCAGACAAACCGTCGTTGTTGTGAATTGAACTTTCAAAAGATTCCCAGAATTCACGCCAATCTTGTATCTTGCCCGAGAACTTTTTCACCTCCAGTTTAGGCAGCTTTACTCTACAGCGTGCTCCGCTGGATACCGTACTTGCTGATGTGTTGGCGAGTTCCTCATTTCGCTTGTTTGTCTCTATCGTGCTCAGCGCTTCGTTGATTTCGGCCAACGCGCCCAAAACTTCACAGCTGTATTCCGATGAGCCGTCAATATCTGCCGCAATATCTTCATCATTTTCTAAACAAGCTCTGAATCTCATCGTCCAACTTCGAAATTGTATCTAATTTCTGTACGAGTACAAGCCGCATTTTTCCATTTCGACTTTCCTTAACGGCGCATTATCGTTTACCATACTTCTCATCTTGTTCAAAACTTTTGTGGCGTACGATTTATGCACACTCTTCGACTGTCGCTTTCTTGTCAGCTCTGATATCGTAAACAACTCTTTATCCTATTTCTGTGTTCTTCTTGAATTCTGCTACTATATCCGGCTCGAAGGACCACGTTTCGCACAATCTGCGCGAAGTGCTGGTTCACTGTTCTAAAACTTCACACTAACGATGGGACTGTATTTTGAATATACAATTTTAACAGTTCAATAAGATATTTACAGTGTTGTGCACGATTTTACGTTCCAAGCGTTGGTTCTTCGCAACACGGAATGATTAAATTTGATCTCGATAAGATTACGGACAACCGTCAATCCTAGAACTGCGTTTTCGAAATTTGTTGCCTTGTGCAATACAACACTAATTCATCAAATTTGTATGACCAGTTCATACACCAATAACGTCAACTTTTCCGAACTCCCGAACCAACGCTTGCAAGCTATATTTATGTATAATTATTCGGAAGTGGTTTTTGAGCGTTTACATATGACGCGCAACTTTGCCATTCCGCTTCTACCTACATCCTACCGCAATGACGCATTGCGGTGAGGAAGTGTTCTCTTAACATATACTATTTTACATGAATTTAATATCCGTTATATCTTATAATCTATAATATGACACAGTCACACTCTACATAATTTGACATGACAATTTACCACAACTCCCACTTTATGGTCATACTTCCAAAATATCTTAAAAACGGTATATTTTATTAAAATTTATACTTATTTCTATTGATCAATTTGTTCCAAATTAAAATCAAACTTATGAAAAAAAACCAATAAAAATCATAAAACCATGTCTTCGCTTTACATAACAATCTATTCTTAAGATGTTTTAAATTTCGTGGCACAAAATAATTTTCCACTCATCGACTCGAAAGAAGAATATATGAATCTTAAGTTGTCAGAATTTTAAATCTTTCTAAAAGTTCAACTGTTCAAGGCTACACGCCATTAACCAGTAAAAGGTTTTTAAGACAAAAAAACAAAGAATTTTCCTGCACGATTACGACGTATAAATGTGACTTATGGAATCTTGTAAATTCTGTAATTGTAGATAAATCAAACGAAGTTACAATTCCAAACAAGAACAATATGCTTACCAAAAACAAATCACTGCCGTCGTAACCAAGGTAAGGCTTTTTTAAAGTATATTTACTTTTTTATGATTCACTACGAAGTACATTTACTTTAAAATCGCAAATGGACTCATGCATGTCATCATTGAATAGTTTAGATATTTAAATCGTTTTAGAAGTAGAAATATTGATCAGCAAGTGTGTTTATCTTTGTCGTAAACTATAGTATCGCTTGTTCAATTTTGTAAGTCCACATTTTAAATGGGGCTAAAGAATTTTGCTTATCTTTGTGATGTTGCAATTTTCTTTCGTCGATGCCAAGTTGTTGATGCTAAGGTTTGTATGTGCAAATTCATTTCATTTTACAATACAATACATTTACAATACTAAAGATCTGGTTTTCTATCAACTTGATAACCTTATAAGTACAGCTAGGCAATCAAACAATCCTGCACATCTGTATGAAAGGAAGCATGTATATGTGACGTTATTCTTGTCACGTGTCCTAAGATATGAATATTACAACTTAATAATTCCTTTTAACACTCCCACTTAATAGTTATATTAACAAAACTAACAAATCTTCGTGATAAAAACTTATAACTTATCATTATTCTTTGATTTCAACTAGTCCCAATAGCTTTGTAAAGTTTTGATATTAATCTTTTGAGAGTATTTTGGTCATTATATCACGAAACATGTCTTCTGTTGGCAACACTTGAAAGAAATGTTGTTATTTTTGACGTGTTATCACACACAGTGATACGACACCTCTACAGTGGGTGACCAAAAAAAGTGTCCTCGTAATGAAATATGAGTTTTGTTTGTAAAATTTATGAAATCAAAAAACTGATTAGAAATAATCGTAATTGAAACAACATTTCTAGTAAACGACAATACTTAAGCAATAATTTACAAAAAAACTGTGCATGTGCAGAAATGTTGACAGTCCTGCAACACTGAAATAATTCGTCATGTTTATATATTGCAACAAAAATCAACACAAACATCAAGCAATTTTTAAAACCAACGCAACGTATATATGAAAATAAAGAAGTCGAATTGCTAAGAGTGACGAACAAGACACCGTCTGCAGATATATCAGAATAAAAAAGGCGAAGGGATCGTGAAATTCGATACATGCTTAATGCTGGAGTCTGTGTTTGTAATTAGGAAGTTGCACAGAAGTTTCTAGTTTTCTACTCATTTACTGTGAAGTAAAATACTGAGTTCAAAGTTGAGGTTAACTTGAGGTGGTAATCACGCCTCCTAGAGGTAGAAAAAAAACAACAGACCACTGAGAGAAGAAATATCTTCATTACTAAAACCTCAAAGTTAGGTACTCTATCAAAGATTTCTTTTTAAATCTTATTGTTCCAGATTTTAAATGCACGCTTTTGATAATCATGGTAGCTTTGCAAATGTCTTTCGTTGATGCTAAGGTTTATTTATGAAAAGTTTTGTCAAATTAAATTATTAAAAAACAGAAATTTTCTGATTTCCTCATCAATCTGATATTGAATATCTTTATAACTTCATCAAAACAGTTAGGCAATCAAAGAATTCTGGACGTCACGTGATACATCAGTGAAAACACAAACTGTGCATCAGCCGTTTCTAACGTCACTTCTGGCATTCAAGACAAAGACAAAACGTATATTTCCATATGAGTTTGGAAGCTCTATAGTTGTCCTTATTCAAGCTAAAGCTTGATTTATTATGTCCTCTGAATGACAGCTCTTTTTTAAACAAATGAAAGATAATGCTGTCAATATTTGTCTTCTTTTTCTGCCTTTTATCCTCATTATGATGCTTCACAGCTTCTCTTCTTGTGTTTCAGAATAAAACTTCGTGGTTAACATCCTTGTCCATAGTGTTTAACACTTGCAAATTTAAAAAAAAGTAATTTCATTTTTTATGAGTCTCGAAAAAGTTGCAAAATCATGCTTTATTATACATTCGAGTTTACGTAAATGATCCCCTCAAAACGCGTTATTTTATCAACATAGATTAAAAATTCTCATTTCATATTAAAATTTATTTAAAATAGTCAGTTATTTGCTTCAGATTTTGCTTAATATTCTAGTGGTTCATGGTCTTAAAATTGATAAAAAACTTTACCATTGCCAATCAATTATCGTATATAGCCAAAGAAAAACAAGATCTTTTGTTACAACATTTTGTAAAACAAATATATTTACAAATTCAAGTTCTATTAAATGCGTTAGACTCTATGAAATTAAATAAACATAAACCTTAGTAACTTTAAAAAAGGCTATTAACTTTAACATTATAACATATTCTTAGATACAGATGCATGACATTCACAAATGAGTACGCAAATATTGAAATATATATTCTTATGTCTGTTTTGTAACGCAAGCTTTAAGGTAAAATATCATATTTTTAAAATTTTTCTAAAGGTTGTTTGACAGGATACTGCAGTTGGTAAAAGCTGTAGCATATATGCTCTCTGTCATTATTAGTTTTCAGGTTCTTTTGTAATTTTAGTACTTTTGGTGAAGTTAAATCAATTAACAAATAAGTTTAATTTTGTCATCATGTAAATTGAGACTTCAATGGAAACTGATAAAGGTTGTATAGAGTTTTTGGAATTGCTTGATTTTTATCTAGTTGATGTATACAAAATTTTTGTAGAGATGGAATCGTCAGGAATAAGAAATCTGTCGTACATTCAGCAAATAATTAATGTGGTACAAAAGGAACTTGCTCAGTTTTTCATTAAACAATGGAATTCTCGTTACAAATCAACTAATGGAGAATGGGATGATACAGAGAACAGTGGTAACAAATTTTACACTTTGGAAGCAGGAAGAAAAATAGACCAAAAAACACGACAAAAATATCAGGATGGAGACACAAGTAAGTGGGACTGTACGATATTATTTGATACAATAATTTTTTCAAATTCAATTGGAAAACATCTTGACAAAAAAACAAAGGATGCTGTTCGTGCACTTCGTTGTGAAAGAAATAAATACGCACATTGGTATGAAAGGGAATGCTCAGATGATGATTTTGATGAAATAGTCAATATCATTGAAAAATCATTTCAAGACATGAAATTTTCTCTCGATGAAATCATTGAAATAAAAATTCATCGAATTTCTTTTTATTCATTCCAAGTTCTTCCTTCAAAACCTAATCATTTTTTCGTTGAACGCAATCAATTACGAGATAAAATTATAAAAGATCTTGAAAAATTAAGGAATGATAACAATGATAAACTGACCTATTTTTACATCACTGGTAATCCTGGCAGTGGTAAATCTCAACTTGCCAGACAGGTTTGTCAAAAAATATCGTGTGATTGCAAAAATAAAACTTTATTTGTAATGACTCTCGATGGAAAAAATGAGGAATCTCTTTTAAAAACTTACTGTGAACTTGGATACCGTTTAAACTGTGACAAGTACATGATTAAAAGATTTGAAGATGAAAACTGTTCCATTACAGACAAAGTGAAGAATTTGCGATCGTTAGTATCCACACGATTAAAATTCTGGCACAATTGGTTGATCATTGTAGACAACGTGGTACAGCTCAGCAAAATTTCTTCGTTACTTCCCAAGTTGGTGACCCATGTGGATAAATGGACAAATCATAGTAACCATCCAGAACACAGATGCCATACCTCAAGACGATGAGTTTAACAAACATATTTCTATCAGAAGTGGAATGAATGATAGGAAATTTTCAACTGTTGAAGCATTACACTATTGAACATGCTGATGATCAATTGTTAAATGAAGTATCGCACGCATTAGATCGTCAACCGCTGGCTTTGGCTGCTGCTGGTTATTATGTCAGTCGTATAAACAAAACAAACGGCTCATTTACTTGGAAACAATATTTAAAGAAAATATCTTCAGAAGAAGAAAACTTGGACGCCACTTTTGTTAAATTTAACTTGGTATATCCTAGAAGTATGTTACAAGCTTCACTTTTAGCTGTCAGACAAAATGCTGAAGAGTCCTCAATATTGGCAAATGTTATTAACTTTTTCTCCGTGATATCGTTTGATCCTATACCACGAGACATTATTATTTGTTATGTTCGAAAAATAGATTCCAAACACTCAAAGGAAGATATATCTCTTTGTTTAAAGGACTGCTCATTGTTCTTGCATTCAGAAAATAATGACATTAGTCTACATCGTATTGTTCACAAAGCAATTATTGTTTATCAATCTGAACATTCAAATGAAGAGCTTGAAATGGAAAGTAACGCTGATCAAATATCTAAAGCACTTTACATGTTTAAAGAAAGAGACGACGAAATCAAATTGATGCCACATCTTGAAAAAATTGTTCAAGATTTAAAGACGAACAAGACAAAAATCAACATGAATACTTTACAAGTTTTCCAATATTTTGTTGACAGATTAAGACATTTTGGAAAATACGATCTTGCTCTTGAACTATTGGATAAATTTAAATCAGAAGAATCTAGTTATGACAAAGCTTGGTTGTTTAGTATCTTCGGTCTTTTATACTGTGACACCGGGAAGTATAGCAAAGCTAAATTACATCATCAAAAGGCTCTGCAAATTCGAAAACAATTGTTAGGTCCAAAGCATGTTGATGTTGCTTGGACTTTAAACAATCTTGCCAATGTGCTTGAAAAAACTAGAAACTACAACAATGCTATCGTGCATTACGAAAAAGCTCTAGAAATTAGAAAACAATCGTTAGGTCCAAATCATGTTGATGTTGCCACATCTTTAAACAATCTTGGTATTGTGTATAATGATATTAAAAAATTCGACAAAGCTATAAAGTTTTTCGAAAAAGCTCTGGAAATTCGAAAACAATCGTTAGGTCCAAATCATGTTGATGTCGCTAGGTCTTTAAACAATCTTGGTTTGGTGTTTACTGAAACTGGAAACTACCACAAAGCTAAAGAGGCTCACGAAAAATCTCTTGAAATTCGACAACAATTGTTAGGTCCAAATCATGTTGATGTTGCCACATCTTTAAACAATCTTGGTATTGTGTATTATAATATTGGAAAGTACGACAAAGTTATAGAGTTTTACGAAAATGCTCTGGAAATTAAAAAACAATCGTTAGGTCCAAATCATGTTGATGTCGCTGCGACTTTAAACAATCTTGGTTTGGTGTTTGAAAAAACTGGAAACTACGACAAAGCTATAGAGTTTGAAAAAGCTCTGGAAATTCGAAAACAATCGTTAGGTCCAAATCATGTTGATGTCGCTGAATCTTTAAACAATCTTGGTGTGGTCATTGAAAATTGGAAAGTACGACAAAGCTATAGAGTTCACGAAAAGCTCTGGAAATTCGAAAACAATTGTTAGGTCCAAATCATGTTGATGTCGCTGCGTCTTTAAACAATCTTGGTTTGGTGTTTGAAAACTGGAAACTACGACAAAGCTAAAGAGGTTCACGAAAAGCTCTTGAAATTCGAAAACAATCGTTAGGTCCAAATCATATTGATGTCGCTGAATCTTTAAACAATCTTGGTGTGGTCATTGAAAAGTTGGAAAGTACGAGGCTAAAGAGTTCACAAAAGCTCTGGAAATTCGACAACAATTGTTAGGTCCAAATCATGTTGATGTCGCTGCGTCTTTATACAATCTTGGTATCGTGTGTTATGATACTGGAAAGTACGACAAAGCTATAGAGTTTTACGAAAAAGATCTGGAAATTCGAAAACAGTTGTTAGGTACAAATCATGTTGATGTCGCTGAGTCTTTACACAATCTTGGTATCGTGTGTTATGATACTGGAAAGTACGACAAAGCTATAGAGTTTTACGAAAAAGCTCTGGAAATTCGAAAACAATCGTTAGGTCCAAATCATGTTGATGTCGCTGCGTCTTTAAACAATCTTGGTTTGGTGTTTACTGAAACTGGAAACTACGACAAAGCTATAGAGTTTCACGAAAAGCTCTGGAAATTCAAAACAATCGTTAGGTCCAAATCATGTTGATGTCGCTGCATCTTTAAACAATCTTGGTTTGTCATGAAAATTGGAAAATACGACAAAGCTATAGAGTTTTACGAAAAGCTCTGGAAATTCGAAACAATTGTTAGGTCCAAATCATGTTGATGTCGCTTCGTCTTTAAACAATCTTGGTATCGTGTGTTATGATACTGGAAACTACGACAAAGCTATAGAGTTTTACGAAAAGCTCTGGAAATTCGAAAACAATCGTTAGGTCCAAATCATGTTGATGTCGCTGGTCTTTAAACAATCTTGGTTTGGTGTTTATGAAACTGGAAACTACGACAAAGCTAAAGAGGTTCACAAAAAGCTCTGGAAATTCGAAAACAATCGTTAGGTCCAAATCATGTTGATGTCGCTACATCTTTAAACAATCTTGGTGTGGTCATTGAAAAGTTGGAAAGTACGACAAAGCTAAGAGGTTCACAAAAGCTCTGGAAATTCGAAACAATCGTTAGGTCCAAATCATGTTGATGTCGCTGCGTCTTTAAACAATCTTGGTATCGTGTGTTATGATACTGGAAAGTACGACAAAGCTATAGAGTTTTACGAAAAAGCTCTGGAAATTCGAAAACAGTTGTTAGGTCCAAATCATCTTGATGTAGCTAGGTCTTTAAACAATCTAGGTTTGGTGTTTACTGAAAATGGAAACTACGACAAAGCTAAAGAGGTTCACGAAAAAGCTCTGGAAATTCGACAACAATTGTTAGGTCCAAATCATGTTGATGTTGCCACATCTTTAAACAATCTTGGTATTGTTTATTATGATATTGGAAAATACGACACAGCTATAAAGTTTTACGAAAAAGCTCTGGAAATTCGAAAACAATCGTTAGGTCCAAATCATGTTGATGTCGCCACATCTTTAAACAATCTTGGTATTGTGTATTATGATATTGGAAAGTACGACAAAGCTATAGAGGTTCACGAAAAAGCTCTGGAAATTCGAAAACAATCGTTAGGTCCAAATCATGTTGATGTCGCCACATCTTTAAACAATCTTGGTGTGGTGTTTAAAAAAACTGGAAACTACGACAAAGCTATAGAGGTTCACGAAAAAGCTCTGGAAATTCGAAAACAATCGTTAGGTCCAAATCATGTTGATGTCGCTGGGTCTTTAAACAATCTTGGTATTGTGTATTATGATATTGGAAAATACGACAAAGCTATAGAGGTTTACGAAAAAGCTCTGGAAATTCGAAAACAATCGTTAGGTCCAATCATGTTGATGTCACTCTGTTTTATACAATCTTGGTTTGGTGTTTAAAAAAACTGGAAACTACGACAAAGCTATAGAGGTTCACGAAAAAGCTCTGCAAATTCAAAACAATCGTTAGGTCCAAATCATGTTGATGTCGCTGCGTCTTTAAACAATCTTGGTTTGGTGTTTAAAAACACTGGAAACTACGACAAAGCTATAGAGGTTCACGAAAAAGCTCTGGAATTTCGAAAACGATCGTTAGGTCCAAATCATAATGATGTCGTTGCGTCTTTAAACAATCTTGGTTTGGTGTTTAAAAACTGGAAACTACGACAAAGCTATAGAGGTTCACGAAAAGCTCTGGAAATTCGAAAACAATCGTTAGGTCCAAATCATGTTGATGTCGCCACATCTTTAAACAATCTTGGTATTGTGTATTATGATACTGGAAACTACGAAAAGCTATAGAGCTTCACGAAAAGCTCTGGAAATTCGAAAACAATCGTTAGGTCCAAATCATGTTGATGTCGCTACATCTTTAAACAATCTTGGTAATGTGCTGAACGAAATGGAAACTACGACAAAGCTATAGAGCTTTACGAAAAGCTCTGGAAATTCAAAACAATCGTTAGGTCCAAATCATGTTGATGTCGCTACATCTTTAAACAATCTTGGTATTGTGCATTATGAAACTGGAAATTACGACAAAGCTATAGAGTTTTACGAAAAAGCTCTGGAAATTCGAAAACAATCGTTAGGTCCAAAGCATGTTGATGTTGCCACATCTTTAAACAATCTTGGTATTGTGTATTATGATACTGGAAAGTACGACAAAGCTATAGAGTTTTACGAAAAGCTCTAGAAATTCGAAAACAATCGTTAGGTCCAAATCATGTTGATGTCGCTGCCTCTTTACAATCTTGGTTTGGTGTTTAATAAAACTGGAAACTACGAAAAGCTATAGAGTTTCACGAAAAGCTCTGGAAATTCAAAACAATCGTTAGGTCCAAATCATGTTGATGTCGCTAAGTCTTTACACTGTTGGTTTGGTCCTTGAATATCATGGAAACTACAGCAAACCTACAGAGGTTACGAAAAGCTCTGGAAATTCAAGAACAATCTTTAGGTCCAATCATAATGATGTCGCTGCGTCTTTATACAATCTTGGTTTGGTCTTTGAAAAGTTGGAAAGTACGAGAAGCTAAAGAGGTTCACGAAAAGCTCTGGAATTTCGAAAAATCGTTAGCCTTTAATCATGTTGATGTCGCTGCGTCTTTTACAATCTTGGTTTGGTCTTTGAAAAGTTGGAAAGTACGACAAAGCTAAAGAGGTTCACGAAAAAGCTCTGGAATTTCGAAAACAATCGTTAGGTCCAAATCATGTTGAGTCGTTGCGTCTTTAAACAATCTTGGTTTTTGTTTAAAATATTGGAAAGTACGACAAAGCTTTAGAGTTTTACGAAAAGCTCTGGAAATTCAAAACAATCGTTAGGTCCAAATCATGTTGATGTCGCTAAATCTTTAAACAATCTTGGTTGTGTATTCTTGCTGGAAACTACGACAAAGCTATAGAGTTTTACGAAAAGCTCTGGAAATTCGAAAACAATCGTTAGGTCCAAATCATGTTGATATCGCTAAATCTTTAAACAATATTGGTACTGTGTATTCTTATACTGGAAACTACGACAAAGCCATAAAGTTTTACAAAAAAGCTCTGGAAATTCGAAAACAATCGTTAGATCCATATCATGTTGATGTTGCTGCATCTTTAAACAATCTTGGTGTGGTGTTTAAAAAAACTGGAAAGTACGACAAAGCTATAGAGGTTTACGAAAAAGCTCTAGAAATTCGAAAACAATCGTTAGGTCCAAATCATGTTGATGTCGCTGCGTCTTTAAACAATCTTGGTGTGGTGTTTGAAAAGTTGGAAAGTACGAGAAAGCTAAAGAGGTTCACGAAAAAGCTCTAGAAATTCGACAACAGTTGTTAGGTCCAAATCATGTTGATGTCGCTGGGTCTTTAAACAATCTTGGTTTGGTGTTTGAAAAAACTGGAAACTACGACAAAGCTAAAGAGGTTCACGAAAAAGCTCTTGAAATTCGAAAACAATCGTTAGGCCCAAATCATATTGATGTCGCTGAATCTTTACACAATCTTGGTGTGGTCAGTGAAAAAGTTGGAAAGTACGAGGAAGCTAAAGAAGTTCACAAAAAAGCTCTGGAAATTCGACAACAATTGTTAGGTCCAAATCATGTTGATGTCGCTGCGTCTTTATACAATCTTGGTATCGTGTGTTTGATACTGGAAAGTACGACAAAGCTATAGAGTTTTACGAAAAAGCTCTGGAAATTCGAAAACAATTGTTAGGTCCAAATCATGTTGATGTCGCTGGGTCTTTAAACAATCTTGGTTTGGTGTTTACTGAAACTGGAAACTACGACAAAGCTAAAGAGGTTCACGGAAAAGCTCTGGAAATTCGAAAACAATCGTTAGGTCCAAATCATGTTGATGTCGCTACATCTTTAAACAATCTTGGTGTGTCATTGAAAAGTTGGAAAGTACGACAAAGCTAAAGAGGTTCACAAAAGCTCTGGAAATTCGAAAACAATTGTTAGGTCCAAATCATGTTGATGTCGCTGCGTCTTTAAACAATCTTGGTATCGTGTGTTATGATACTGGAAAGTACGACAAAGCTATAGAGTTTTACGAAAAGCTCTGGAAATTCGAAAACAATCGTTAGGTCCAAATCATGTTGATGTCGCTGGTCTTTAAACAATCTTGGTTTGGTGTTTACTGAAACTGGAAACTACGACAAAGCTAAAGAGGTTCACGAAAAGCTCTGGAAATTCGAAAACAATCGTTAGGTCCAAATCATGTTGATGTCGCTGAATCTTTAAACAATCTTGGTGTGGTCATTGAAAAGTTGGAAACTACGACAAAGCTAAAGAGTTCACAAAAAGCTCTGGAAATTCGAAAACAATTGTTAGGTCCAAATCATGTTGATGTCGCTGCGTCTTTAAACAATCTTGGTATGTGTTTATGATACTGGAAACTACGACAAAGCTATAGAGTTTTACGAAAAGCTCTGGAAATTCGAAAACAATCGTTAGGTCCAAATCATGTTGATGTCGCTGGTCTTTAAACAATCTTGGTTTGGTGTTTGAAAATGGAAACTACGACAAAGCTAAAGAGGTTCACGAAAAGCTCTGGAAATTCGAAAACAATCGTTAGGTCCAAATCATGTTGATGTCGCTGGGTCTTTAAACAATCTTGGTTTGGTGTTTATGAAACTGGAAACTACGACAAAGCTAAAGAGGTTCACGAAAAGCTCTGGAAATTCGAAAACAATCGTTAGGTCCAAATCATGTTGATGTCGCTACATCTTTAAACAATCTTGGTATTGTGTATTATAAACTGGAAACTACGACAAAGCTATAGAGGTTTACGAAAAGCTCTGGAAATTCGAAAACAATCGTTAGGTCCAAATCATGTTGATGTCGCTGGTCTTTAAACAATCTTGGTTTGGTGTTTACTGAAACTGGAAACTACGACAAAGCTAAAGAGTTCACAAAAAGCTCTGGAAATTCGAAAACAATCGTTAGGTCCAAATCATGTTGATGTCGCTACATCTTTAAACAATCTTGGTGTGTCATTGAAAACTGGAAAGTACGACAAAGCTAAAGAGGTTCACAAAAGCTCTGGAAATTCGAAAACAATCGTTAGGTCCAAATCATGTTGATGTCGCTGCGTCTTTAAACAATCTTGGTATCGTGTGTTATGATACTGGAAAGTACGACAAAGCTATAGAGTTTTACGAAAAGCTCTGGAAATTCGAAAACAATCGTTAGGTCCAAATCATGTTGATGTCGCTAGGTCTTTAAACAATCTTGGTTTGGTGTTTACTGAAACTGGAAACTACGACAAAGCTAAAGAGGTTCACAAAAAAGCTCTGGAAATTCGAAAACAATCGTTAGGTCCAAATCATGTTGATGTTGCCACATCTTTAAACAATCTTGGTATTGTGTATTATGATATTGGAAAGTACGACAAAGCTATAGAGTTTACGAAAAGCTCTGGAAATTCGAAAACAATCGTTAGGTCCAAATCATGTTGATGTCGCCACATCTTTAAACAATCTTGGTATTGTGTATTATGATATTGGAAAGTACTACAAAGCTATAGAGGTTTACGAAAAAGCTCTGGAAATTCGAAAACAATCGTTAGGTCCAAATCATGTTGATGTCGCCACATCTTTAAACAATCTTGGTTTGGTGTTTGAAAAAACTGGGAACTACAACAATGCTGTAGAGCTTCACAAGAAAGCTCTAGAAATTCGAAAACAATCGTTAGGTCCAAATAATGTCGCTGTTGCTAAGTCTTTAAAGAATCTTGGTATGCTTTTTAATAAAATTGGAAACTACGACAAAGCTAAAGAAGTTCACAAAAAAGCTCTAGTAATTCGAAAACAATCGTTAGGTCCAAATCATGTTGATGTTGCTGATTCTTTAATCAATCTTGGTAATGTGTATTATAATACTGGAAACTTCGACAAAGCTATAAATTTTTACGAAAATGCTCTGGAAATTAAAAAACAATCGTTAGGTCCAAATCATGTTGATGTCGCTGCGTCTTTAAACAATCTTGGTTTGGTGTTTGAAAAACTGGAAACTACGACAAAGCTATAGAGTTCACGAAAAGCTCTGGAAATTCGAAAACAATCGTTAGGTCCAAATCATGTTGATGTCGCTGAATCTTTAAACAATCTTGGTGTGGTGTGAAAATGGAAAGTACGACAAAGCTAAAGAAGTTCACGAAAAGCTCTAGAAATTCGAAAACAATTGTTAGGTCCAAATCATGTTGATGTCGCTGGGTCTTTAAACAATCTTGGTTTGGTGTTTGAAAAACTGGAAACTACGACAAAGCTAAAGAGGTTCACGAAAAGCTCTGGAAATTCGAAAACAATCGTTAGGTCCAAATCATGTTGATGTCGCTGAATCTTTAAACAATCTTGGTGTGGTCATTGAAAAGTTGGAAAGTACGACAAAGCTAAAGAGTTCACAAAAAGCTCTGGAAATTCGACAACAATTGTTAGGTCCAAATCATGTTGATGTCGCTGCGTCTTTATACAATCTTGGTATCGTGTGTTATGATACTGGAAAGTACGACAAAGCTATAGAGTTTTACGAAAAAGCTCTGGAAATTCGAAAACAGTTGTTAGGTCCAAATCATCTTGATGTAGCTAGGTCTTTAAACAATCTAGGTTTGGTGTTTACTGAAAATGGAAACTACGACAAAGCTAAAGAGGTTCACGAAAAATCTCTGGAAATTCGACAACAATTGTTAGGTACAAATCATGTTGATGTCGCTGGGTCTTTAAACAATCTTGGTTTGGTGTTTACTGAAACTGGAAACTACGACAAAGCTGAAGAGGTTCACAAAAAAGCTCTGGAAATTCGAAAACAATCGTTAGGTCCAAATCATGTTGATGTCGCTACATCTTTAAAATCTTGGTGTGGTCATTGAAAAACTGAAAGTACGACAAAGCTAAAGAGGTTCACAAAAGCTCTGGAAATTCGAAAACAATTGTTAGGTCCAAATCATGTTGATGTCGCTGCGTCTTTATACAATCTTGGTATCGTGTGTTATGATACTGGAAAGTACGACAAAGCTATAGAGTTTTACGAAAAGCTCTGGAATTCGAAAACAATTGTTAGGTCCAAATCATGTTGATGTCGCTAGGTCTTTAAACAATCTTGGTTTGGTGTTTACTGAAAATGGAAACTACGACAAAGCTAAAGAGGTTCACGAAAAAGCTCTGGAAATTCGACAACAATTGTTAGGTCCAAATCATGTTGATGTTGCCACATCTTTAAACAATCTTGGTATTGTGTATTATTATATTGGAAAATACGACACAGCTATAAAGTTTTACGAAGAAGCTCTGGAAATTCAAAAACAATCGTTAGGTCCAAATCATGTTGATGTTGCTGATTCTTTAATCAATCTTGGTAATGTGTATTATAATACTGGAAACTTCGACAAAGCTATAAAGTTTTATGAAAAAGCTCTTGAAATTAAAAAACAATCGTTAGGTCCAAATCATGTTGATGTCGCTGCGACTTTAAACAATCTTGGTTTGGTGTTTGAAAAAACTGGAAACTACGACAAAGCTGTAGAGCTTCACGAAAAAGCTTTAGAAATTCGAAAACAATCGTTGTGTCCAAATCATGTTGATGTCGCTGCGACTTTAAACAATCTTGGTTTGGTGTATTATAAAACTGGAAACTACGACAAAGCTATAGAGTTTAACGAAAAAGCTCTGGAAATTCGAAAACAATCGTTAGGTCCAAATCATGTTGATGTCGCTGCGTCTTTAAACAATCTTGATAATGTGCTTGAAAAAACTGAAAACTATGACAAAGCTAAAGAGGTTCACAACAAAGCTCTGGAAATTCAAAAAAAATCTTTGGGTAAGAATATATACAAATTTCATAGTATAATGCAAAAAAATTTCTCCATATTGAATTTAAAGTCCTAGATTTAAGTGGCTCATTGACATACAAATTGTTTCATGTGAGGACTTGGTTGTTCATTTTGTTTGTAGACAAACAAAAGGGCCAAAACACTAATTAAAACGCAGTTTGGATTCATATTTACATTATTCAACAAAAAAAATAATTCAAAAGTCTACCTATAAACTAAAAACATATACATAAAACCCGCTCTAAAGAACAGTGAGATGGAAACATTTTAATCAAACAAACATTGCCCAAGATTTATAACAGCTATAAACTCATTGTTAGTTTTAAAATTAAAATACAACATTGCACCAATTTAGAGATAATAATATTCCATATACCTGGTGTCTATTTCAAAGTCACTACTAGAATTAAAGCATACATTTAAATATAATGTTATAGCATATACGTATCAAAATTTAAACACACCTTGAGTCTTTGACATCTTATAAACATTTTATTTCACCAAACCCAGCTCTGTAAAAATTATGTCATCAAAAAATCATAGACTGAAAAATTGACAAACATTGGAAATAATTCAGGATGATTTTAAAACAGACATATTTCAGTATGCTTATGCCATTTTCAGCGTATTACTTCTTACAGCAAGAAAATATTATATCATTTATATATGTCACAGATATTAAATTACAGGATTGAAAGTAGAAATTTTATTACGAGTTAAATTTAGACTTATAATGTATTTGTTTACTGAGATCTATTTTTATCAAGTTGCTTAATATAAAACATAAATAAATGATTTGAGCAACAAAGATAGCAAAAGCTTGACAAAACATGTGTCTACATATTATCAAATCGTGGTCTGTATGACATGTTTAACTGCTATTTTGCTATTAATAAATTATTGAAACTACATTGACATATCGTGACTGACATTGATACCAAACATTATTATAGCAATTCCAGTCATTATGTTTCCTGCAGGATGTTTCCCTAAATTTATAAAGGTGTTGCAGATGATTTTTTCAATTCTTAGATCCCTTGCAGTTCTTGTCTACTAATTCAAAAATATTATAGCGATCACTTTTTCTCGCTCGTCTATTTTCCAGGAATACAGTTCAATTTCTTTTCATAACTGACAAAAACGTACGACGACGAGTTGATTGTTTAATGAAAGTATAGCTCCGAGATTGAAGTAAACAAGCCACATATCGCGATAAAATTTCTATGTTTGACCGATCTTTCTTAATTGCCTCGACTCCGTAGGGAAAGGCAGCCTTCTCAACAAATTGAGTGATTCGGCAAGGATTCCATATACATTAAAGTAAAGAATCGTCAACGAGAAATGAATTCGAACTTCGAAGTAGCTATGAATTAACCATTCATTTGTTCTGTTTAGGAACAAAATTCATCGATTTTCTAGGCTTTTGGGTGCTTGCATATTCTTTAGGAAACTTTTGAATATATATATATATATACTGTGTATAACGATAATGTATGATTAAAATAATTCCAAACTTTTCTTTAAAATCCATCAGTAATTAAACAACAACGCTAAAAAATGTGTTAATGTTTGTGTCCTTACAATTTTCGTTCTTTGATTAGGTTGCATAAATTCGTATAACTTTGTAGTAGTTTTCTTGTCCTCAAAACAGATAGCTAAAAGTAACGGATTTTAGCAACCTTTTCTTAAATTACTAAGATACTCGACAGAGATTGGCGACAACAGTTCGTTAACACTTATCAATGTCTGAATTTATTACAACGCCCTTATTAACCGAGTGTGAGGTCTTTACGGAGAAATATCGGACTGAAGTTATTTGTACTAACCGAGACCCTTAGGGAGAAGTTTGTGATAAAAACAGAGGTCCGAAATTTCTCAATAAAGACCGAGCAGGTGAGGTTAGTAAAAAGTCAGTTAGCTATATGGTATTATTTGACCTGAAACGAAGCTTTCTTTTCATTTTCCATTCTTGCTGTTTTGCAAGGACTGGCTTTCACTCCTCTAGTTTTGCCAGCAGAAAATATATAGTTTGAAATTGTGTCGCCTAGATAATAAAACCAACTTTTCGAGTGTTCTTTTATGACTTACATTCATACCATGGATTTTTGTTTTGTTTAATTTTCGTTTTACAAAACATTTGCTGTTTGCTTCATGAAGTTTTAGTAAAACACAAGACAATTGACACTCCGTGTAAACATTCTTTAATCTAGATAAACATTATTTAATCTAGATAAACATTATTTAATCTAGATAAACATTATTTAATCTAGATAAATAGTGTTTACTATATACAGAGTGTCTATTGTCTTGTAAAACACCAAAATACTCTTTGGCAGTCGTAATTCATGAAGTTTGTTTATCTACATTTATTTGTAAAATTACGCCTGATGAAAGCTGGTCCATTACGTGAAAATATATACTTCCCCCTCAATATTTCCAATTGTAAGATCATTTTATTACTTGAAAATGTCAGTCATGTAAAACAGTGCGTAATATATGTATATGAGATTTTGGAGCTAATGGGCAAAACGAAATAAAATATATAGCTTTAAAAAGCTACTATTCAAAACAACTTTCCTATTTATTTGTGTTATTTCTTTTCGAGCGCTAGCTGTAAATTCATTTTTTTACTTGTTGTCAAAATAGAAATACACAGCTTGTGTAGATAACGCTTTTTAAAATATTATTTGTAGAAATCACAAGTGGTGATGATGCTGATGCTAAAGATGTCGGAAATTCTCCTGGTGCTGGAAATACAAAACAAGGTATGCCTTTCAATTCTAATTTATTTTATATGTATTGCATAATTTAAGCATATTTGTTTTGTATTGTATCACAATTCAAGTCATTTGATTAGTATTTACGTGTTTTTATGAAGATTTATATTATTTAATAATATGCATGATCTACGTATACAGTGTTGCACTTTCGCACTCCAAACGTTCGTTTATTACGTATGTTCAATACTGTATCAATGACTTCAATTTTTCTTTTGCGAACGACAAATGATTTAAATGTACTTTGTACCAGACGGCAGTGCTCAGCACAACTTGACAAGTCTTTGTTTATCTCAATAAATGCGGCGTAGCAGGAAAGTGGCGCAAGTCTTTTTATATAATGCGAAAAAATTGACTACATTTCATAAGTTCCATCGAAGAAAAAGGATTACAATATATAGACGAAGACCTTTTAAATCAAATCTCGACAAAATATACACTATACAGATCAGACCCTGCATTTTAGAAATGTTCAGGTTAGACCATTTGTTTTAAAAGTGCTCGTGTTTGATTACATTACTTACTATTTTCTTTGTTAGAGTACAGGAGATTAGTAGGGGTATAATATCATTTCCAGATAAAAATTATGTTTTTTTGCTTCTGGCTTACAGCATCGAAATTGTTGAAACAATTAAAAAAACATTACTAAGTCCAAGTTCTAATAAAAATTTTCTTCAAATACAGTCTTTAATCAACCTTTTAAACTAGCAAACGTTATGAGATATATGAGTTTTTTTCATCACATGTCTAAGCAACACTGAATGGCAACATTTGCGGCTGGTTTAATCTGTTTTAATCATTGCTGTAAAATTTTCTCACTTGAAAAATTGTACTTGAACCACATTACCAGTCAGTTGATATTAAAATGAAACATAAGGTGATAATCACAACATCTGTCTGATGATGAATTGGTAATAAATTCGCACCACATGCTTACATTACTTAGCTAATGACATTGAAAATCGTGTTTATTGTAAGTAAAATCCCTCAAAATCATATGAATAATGAGCTATTGCGACGATAAAAAGAAGGCTATTAACAATTTTCATTATGACAAATGTAACATAAAATTACACATTTATCAAACGATCTTCTAAATTCTAAATTTACAGAAAACTTTAAATTCTTCCTAAGTTGTAACAAGGATAGTAAAAATCCAAATATAAAAAAAATGTTTCTTCATGTGAAAATTCAGTGACGGATTGTCAGCGCGATAATTAGGGGGTGGTGTCAAATATTCATCTAAGGTTTTCTGTATGAATTACTTTCGGAGTCGTTTATTTTCTGCGAATTATAGCATACATATATGTATTTGAATATTGATAATCTTCATATATCTTACTAGCGGTTTATTAAATCATTATTGATATATAATATACAATAACTATACTGAGTTGTGTATGCAAACTTACATGTGTGCCATAATTTCAATTAATAAAAAAGAGACTTTGTCGTGGTGACAAATCTGAAAATAGTTCTAAAGATAGCAAATACTATAGTGAACGGTAAAAGAAATATAATAAGTTGATAGTTCTTAAAATAACTGATTTAAGTAAAGAGCACTAACCCGATAGTTCTAAATTAAACGAGACGATGCATTTCGGCAGACTACTCCTGCGAAGACGGTTTCAACGTCTGCTAAATGAAAATTTACAATCTACTGAAATTTATAATGGCAAGGAAGAGTGTACATCATAAATACTGCGTAGCAGGAAGTGGCGTAATTCTTTTTGTAAAGTGCTCAAATTGACTACATTTCATAAGTTCCATTAAAGAAAAAGGATTATAATAAATAGACTTTAAAATAAACCTTTTAAAACAAATCTTGACATAATGTACATCATACAGATGAGACCCTGCATTTTAGAAGTGTCCAGGTTGGACCATCTGTTTTAAAAGTGCTCGTGTTTTATTACGTTAATTACTATTTTCTTTGTTAGAGTACAGGAGATTAGTCGGAGTATAACTTTTTTCCAGAAAGAAATTATGTTTTTTGCTCCTGGCTTACAGCATGTTGACGCAATTAAAAACATCAACAAGTCCAAGTTACTTCGAATACAGTCTTCAATCAACCTTTTACATTAACAAATGTAATAAGATATATGAGTATTTTTCATCACATGTCTAAGCAACACTGAATGGTAACAATTGCGGCTGGTTTAATCTGTTTTAAGCATGACAGTAAAATCTTGTCACTTCACAATTTGTACTTGAAGCACATTACCAGCCAGTTGAAATTAAGACGAGACATGAGGTGATAATGACATCATGAAATCTATTTTTTTAGAAAGTAACGTTTATTTGTATTCTGCTTGTTTAATCATAAAAACTTCTCAACAAACTATCTTTTGCATATACTGTCATATTTTACTGTCATACATTACCTAGCTAATAACATTGAAAATTAGGCAAAGAACGGCCACTATCAAATCGACTTGCTCGACATACTTCAATCAATAAGAATTCCTGTTCATTGTAATAAAAATATCTCAAAATCATATGGAAAATGAGCAAATTTGACGATGTGAATTCTCAAAGTTCCACAATAAAAAGAAGGCTATTTACAATTTTCATTATGAATAATGTAGCATTAAATTGCACATTTATTAAACGACCTTCTAAATTCTAAATTTACAGAAAATTACAAGTTATTTTGAGCTCTCTCTTTGCTAAGTATACTGGAGATTACCTCTTCAGTGTGAACATCATTCAAAAGTCCACAAAGATCTTTTTCTAGGTTAGAATTAAATTTTGAACACTTTTTACTCAGAATTGTATTTTGAAAGTTGCATAGAGCATAAAAGTTGCTGTATCAGTTTTTCAACTAGAAAATTTCCCCAAATAGATAAGCAAATAAAGTTACTAATCGCAAAACTTAAAAACAACAACTTTACTCATTGATTTGAATAAATTACTCCCACTTATCTCAAAAATAATAAATATAATTATTTCAACTATATCAGAAGAGCAAATGAGTTCAAAGATCTCATTCATAATTCAAATTGTGTCTTAATTGATGATTGTAAACTTGCTTGATGACCTCGATTAAAAGGTGCACGTGAATCAGACCAATCCACTTACAATTTAAGCCTCCCGATTGAGCAAGCCTATCGCTGCTTCTGAAATATCGCTTACAGAACTTAATGGCTGTATCATGTTTTCTCAGATATTGTAGCACGGACCATTGTATACAGGGCTAAAACTATAACTTTTAGTGTTGTGGGGAACGTGTGTTTAAAAATGCTGCTGCTGAAATATCGCTTACAGAACTCAATGGCTGTATCACGATTCCTTAAATATTTAATCTAGATAAATAAGGTTTACTATATACGGAGTGTCTATTGTCTTGTGTTTTACCAAAATACTCTTTGGCAATCGTAATTCATGAAGTTTGTTTATCTGCCTTTGTTTGTAAAATTACGCCTAATCAACGCTGGCTCATTACGTGAAAATATATACTTCCCCCTCAATATTTCCAATTGTAAGGTCATTTTATTACTTGAAAATGTCAGTCATGTAAAACGTAATACATGTATATGAGATTTTAGAGCTAATGGGTAAAACGAAACGAAATATATAGTTTTGAAAAGCTACTATCCAAAATTTGCAATTTATTGGTGTTATTTCTTTTCGAGCGCTAGCTGTAAATTCATTTTTTTACTTGTTGTCAAAATAGAAATACACAGCTTGTGTGGATAACGCTTTTTTAAAATATTGTTCGTAGAAATCACAAGTGGTGATGACGTTAATGCTAAAGATGTCGGAACTTCTCCTGGTGTTGAAAATACAAAACAAGGTATGCCTTTCAATTCTAATTTTTTTATATATATTGCGTAACCTAAGCATATTTCTTTTAAATTGTATCACAATTCAAGACATTTGATTGGTATTTATGTGTTTTTATGAAGATTTATATTATTTAATAATATTCATGATATACGTGTACATTGTTGCACTTTCGGACTCCAAACGTTTGTTTATTGCGTATGTTCAATACTGTATCAATGGGTTAAATTTTCCTCTTGCGAACGAAAAATAATTTAAATGTACTTTGTACCAGACGGCAGTGCTCAGCACATTTTGACAAGTCTTTGTTTATCTCAATAAATAGTGCGTAGCGAAAAGTGACGTAAATCTTTTTATAAATTGCTCAAATTGACTACACTTCACAAGTTCCATTCAAGAAAAAGGATTACGTATTTGATTACAAATACAGTCTACAATCAGTCTTTTACATTAAGTATTGTTATAAGATATATGAATTTTTTCATCACATGTCTAAGCAACACTGAATGGTAACATTTGCAGCTGGTTTTATCTGTTTTAACCATGACAGTAAAATCTTGTCACTTCACAATTTGTACTTCAAGCACATTATCAGTCATTTGAAATTAAGATGAGACATGAGGTGATAATGACATCATGTAATCTATGTTTTTAAAGTAACGTTTATTTGTATTCTGCTTGTCTAATCATAAAAACTTCTCAACAAACAATCCTTTGGATATACTGTCATACTTCACGTTTGCACCACCATGCATACATTACCTAGCTAATAACATTGAAAATTAGGAAAAGAACGGCCACCATCAAATGGACTTGCTCGATATGCTTCAATAAATAAGAATTCCTATTCATTGTAATAAAAATACCTCAAAATCATATGGAAAATGAGCAAATTTGACGATGTGAATTCTCAAATTTGGACAATAAAAAGAAGGCTATTTACAATTTTCATTAAGAATAATGTAGCATTAAATTGCACATTTACTAAACGATCTTCTAAATTCTAAATTTACAGAAAATTACAAGTTTTTTTGAACTCTCTCCTTGCTAAGTATACTGGAGATTACCTCTTCAGTGTGAACATCATTCAAAAGTCCACAAACATCATTTTCAATCTTAGCAATAAATTTTGAATACTTTTTACTCAGAATTGCATTTTAAAAGTTGCATAGAGCATAAAAGTTGCTGTATCAGTTTTTTTTTACTAGAAAATTTCCAAAAATAGATAAGCAAATAATGTTACTACTCGCCAAAATTAAAATCAATAACTTTATTCATTGATTTCAATAAATTATTCCCACTGATCTCAAAATAAATAAATATAATTATTTCGACTATATTAGAAGAGCAAGTGAGTCCAAAAATCTCATTTATAATTCAAATTGTGTCTTAATTGATGATTGTCAACTTGCTTGATGACTTCCATTAAAAAGTGCACTTGAATCAGACCAAGCCACTTACGACTTAACCTCCCGATTGCGGAAGCATAACGCTGCTGCTGAAATATCGCTTACAGAACTCAATGGCTGTATCATGATTTCTCAGATATTGTAGCACTTACCATTGTGTAGAGGGCCGAAACTAGAACGTGTAATGTGTCGTATCTTCATTTGTGGTCGACTGATTTTTTTTTTAAAGCCAACGTAGTCTACATTAAACATAATTCAAATAGACCAATATATCAATAAATTGACAGGCAGATCGATCGATAAAAAATTTATATGAAAATTTTTTATTTGAAAGCATAAATATGATTTACATCATGATTTCTTTCTCATGTTTCTAAAAAAGACAAGAATTTTATCAAAAGGACTAAAAGATATGATAATAATTTAAATCGCTTACTTTTTTTGTTGGATTAAAAAAATTATTGACTTGCATGATTCTATTCCTCCCTGGGTAAAAATTCCTTAAAAAAGAAATTTTCTCGATAACGAAAACCTTGACACAATAGACACATGACAGACAAATTGTTTCTTGCAAATAAAGCATCATGTGCTTAATAAAATAATTGAAAACTGCAAATAGCCATTTTCAATTCGGCAAAGGGAAAACAATACTAGTAATCGTTTTGAAGAACGCAAATACTATGGGGGATCGTAAAAGTAATTCAACATGGTATTTGCGATCTTCAAAACGATTTTCAGGTTTGTCACCACGATAAAGTCTCTATTTTAATACTAACAATGTTACACGAGAATAAGAAAAAGCATGAGGTAGAGTTTAAGTTTGTAGAAATATAGATAACGTGGTTCACTTTACCAGAGAAACAGTACGTGTCAGATAATTTAGAGTTAAAGCATAAAATGCCTATGAAACGAAAATTTAGCAACCAGTGTTGTACTTTTATTGAACAGACATTTTAATATGATAACGGACTTTCTGTACTAGTTTATGCATAACACTTTTCATTCTCGATATATTGAAGTTTTTATTATGTCCGATTTATCTGATATCACACTGGATAATGAGAACTAGAAGTATTTGATAAATTTGCTGATACATTATTTTAACATGGCGGAGTTTCCTTCTTTGTGATGTGTTAATGATATAAAATACTGCGTACCATTATCAACCTAAAGTTGTTATGAAAATAAAAGTTACTTGAAATATTGCAGCGACTCATTTTGCATGCAATATGTTGTCACAAGTTAGATAAATTGGTAATTGCAAGGACTTCAGTATTTTTAGAATGAAAAAAGTCATACATAAAAGGTTTCAGAAAGCACTCTGTCTTTTCAAAAGTTTTGGTCAATACAGATATAATTTAACTAGGAAAATTTTTGTTTCATTGTCAATTTAAGATGTCCAAACAAGTTTTGAGAGATTAATTGTAGAGATCGAACTTCAATGCTAATATTTGGGAACAAACATGAGATAGTCTATCTAAAAGACGAGTGTCGAGAATAGAAAGAAAAATTGAATGAAGCTATTTTGTGATCTTTTGGTATAAAAAATTTCTTAGACTCTAAGAAATATATGCTCTCAAAGTTTTTATTTAATATTTTCGAAAAACGCAAGGTTACTCCTTAACAAAAATTCATGAAATTACTGCAGAGAAAAGTTTTTGTGATTAATTGTTTGGTATAAGCTAACCTCGAATGATACCAGTTAAAAAATTTATGATATGTCTAATAATTGTTAATACGTTTTTTTAAAAGTGTACGGTATCAGTATCCTTTCCTAATTGGGGAATTTTAAGCTATTTTGATATATTTATTTTGTTTCTTTAACCCTTGATTGTAATGTTTTTATCTTGAAGTGTGGAAATACATTGATGAATCAAAGAAGCATAAAGAATTTCTTTTAAAATTGATTGAATATGGACGCAATTGCAGTGTTCATGTTAAAGAGGTGGGCAATGTACGAGTAATTTTCTCAGAAGAGTTTTGCATTGGTGAAGGAAGTGATGCAACCCGTGTCTTTCTTGGACTGGGTAAGGATGGTTACGGTAAAGCAGTGAAACGAATACATCAACATAAATTTATCCAGCTTGCACATCACGAAAAGAAAATTTTAAATGAATTCAATGCAAAGAAGTCGAAATATGTTGTGAATTATTTCTACTTAGAAGAAGATACTAGAACAGAATATGTTTATTTGATATTAGACTTATGTGAAGAATCATTGCAGAGTTTTGTCAAGTCTTCTACATTGCATGATCTTCAAAAAGCTCTTCCTGATCTTCTTACACAAATTTTAAAAGGATTAGCTGATCTTCATAGCGGCCCAAATCCTATTCTACATCGGGATTTAAAGCCTTCGAATGTTCTGCGAGACTCAAAAAGCAACTTTCTGATAGCTGACTTTGGCATAAGTCGAAAAATGAAGAGTGACTCTACAACATATAAAAGCAATACTTCCATGGGAACTTTGCATTGGATAGCTCCTGAATCATATTGCGAAGATGATGATTCAGGAAATAAAGCCCGTTACAATAGAAGGTCTGATGTATATGTAAGTGTAGGAATGTAAACATTTGTAAGTTGTAAAGAAACTCAATGTTGTGAAATTGCATTTTGATGTAACGCTTTTTATTATTTTAGAATGCAGGGATGGTAGCTTATTATGTTGCAACAAAAGGAAAACATCCTTTTGGAAATAAACTATATAGACAGATCAACATGATAAATGGAAACCCTGTTGGTTTGGATGAAATCGTGGATCAAACACTAAAGGACCTTTTGTCGTGGATGTTAAATCTAAAACCTGAAGACAGACCATATTCTAACGAAGTATTAAAACACCCATTTCTTATGTCAGATGATGAGAAGTTTGAAATGTTAAGTAAAGTTGGGAATCTTCAGCAGATTAAGGCCAATGATCCCCAGTCAAGTGTCGTTCAAAAATTGAATAGCGAATCCGTATATTGGAAGGGTCAAATGGATTGGGATGTCTATGATTATTTTAGAACGAACGTTAGGACTGGAAAAGTTTATAAGTATAAATCTTCATGGCCAGAATGCTTAAGATTCATTCGAAATATTGACCAGCATTGGAACGATCGACCACGACCTTTACCACAACCAGAACCATTTTATAAGATTGGCGATTACAGGGCGTATTTTCTCCGAACATTTCCTAATCTCCCTGTTCGGGTACATGCTGCTGTCAGGTCAAATGAAGAATTGAAAAACAAACCAGAACTCAAGAACTTTTTTTATTTTAATGAAAGCGAACTATATCAATAAACAATTTAGACACAACAGATGCTGTTGGGGGTGAAAAAAGTAGCTTTGAAGAAATCGTTTATACTGTAAAGATCTTATTTTATAGATATAAAGAAAAACAGTTTCCACGACGTGTTTAGATGATATTTCATCACATTTTTGGTAAATCTATAACCTGTGGTATTCATTGATACAATGTAATATACCTGATTATTTAATTTTTACTGTAAATTGTTTTGGAAAAAGACTGATGGTGAACTGGACATTAAAAGTTAACTTTTATGTTTGGCTGCACTGATAAATTTTGCACTACATTTATCCAACATAATAAACTCGTATAGGATAAAAAATTGTATTTCTGAAATTATTATAATTACTAAAAGTCTGGCCTTGGTGTTTTGGCCTCTTGGGAATTCCTTATTGTATAAACCTGACCATCAGAGGTTGTGCATAATTCCATTAGTAGAATCTTTTGTGTTTTACTATGTCACATTAATTACGTAGCTGATTAAAATATAAAATAGTTGAATTAAATAACATTTTCATTAGTTTGAGTGGTTGAGAGCATTTCGTCTAATAATTTGGTTATGGACTCAATAATATCTTAATTAGTTTTATAGAAAAATATTCATACTTGTCATCATTTTCTGATATATTGTTTATTTCATGCGCTGTAAGAATAGCAATTATTTTGTGCCTAAATCCATACAACTAAAATGCAAGTGCTATGTATTTAAGATTTCTTAAATGAATATTGAATATACACCTAAATACACGTAAGGTTAACTACGTCGCTCTCAATTGCCTATATTCTAAAAAATCTCTCACTCACATTTACTGAGTAAAGTTACAAAATAGTCTTATAACTGCTAGAAGACCTTGTATTTACTCCACAGATAGAAAATAGTGCAAAGTTATGTTGATTTTATCATCTCAGATCCCATATCATTTGGTTGGTATCCGCACATTAATGTCACATGAAAGCACTCAGTATTAGTTGTGTAGCAGTTTTAGTTTAAAGTTTTGTAAATCATTTATAAAAATTTTGAGCTTTTGGGCTTTTTTTATTTTATCGAATTAACTTTGCAAAGAGCATACTATAACAACGAAAGAACGTAAATAACTTCTAAATGACAAAGAACGATGCACCAGTTTTCTCCAGTTACTGCAGCCTTTTAAACACAACGTTGCAAACATTAAATACAACACAATTTATATAATGTATAATAAGTGCGAACGTTTTTCTTGAATTGATGAAGGCTGACATTTTTGCCTCTGAAGTTATTTAGATTTACTCTAGAGTGTACTGCATCTCTTTAATTAAGAAGTGAACGGATGCTGAGCACGTGAAATCATTCAGAATCCAAAAACAATTTTTTTAAAAAAAATTCAGAACGTTGATGGTACATCCATCGTATCCAACGTTTCGGCTACCTGACAAACATCCCCGGTTTCGTGTCGACGACGGCAAGCACAGAAACAAGATTGGCCATTTCTAACAACTGTGCATGTCCTCTACGGTATGAAAACGGAAACATCTACAGTTAGTGAAAAATTTAGGATTTTTACTTTTGTTTTGCATGCTGAAAAAAATTCCATGTTTTTATTAGGAAAATTTTTTACTCAATTAATGTAAAAATTTGGCTGCTCAATGGTGGCGTGGTTTTATTCATCTGCAAAAAACTATGTTAAATTACTCATTCAGTTTACTTAAATAATTGATTATGACTTTAAGGATTTGTGGGATTTTTTGCTGTTGTGAATAGTTTAATAAGAATATTATTCTTACCATAATATTATTGATATATCGTCATTTATAGTTCGCAAGTCTTTAGGATTGGCGGATTAACCAGTGGGAATCGTATCTTAGTTAGATATAATACCAAGGATAGTAACGTTTTTAACTGCCACAGTCTAATAGTCCAATAACCACGGTCATATTCCAATAGGACAGGGACTTGTTTATGGACATAAAAGTTGAGCTGATGGAAGCATTGCTTAAGAGCAACATGTTCTATTTGCGATTATAGTATGTGATGTAGACGGATTGATGGAAAAAAGAAGTCTCGTGTTTTCTAACGTCATTAAAGTATATACTGTCCCATCCTTGATCATTGTTGGGAGGACTTTTTTTCCCATTCTTGTTAATTGTTTGGAGAACTTTATTCAAGTATATTGTCCTTTAGAGTAAATGGTTTGAACCCGGGAGTATCGTTATATGTTTGTAAATGATGATCGTCCAGGTTAATAAAGTCCTGAGAAGGACTGTTTTTGATGTTGTTGACTGACGTTTCGACAACCTTAGCGGTAGTCATCTTCAGAGTCAAATGAGGAGTAAACGTCAGGTTAGCCGTATTTGTTGTCTGGTTCTTACGTCATTGTATTGTGTGTACAGGAAATGTGCAGGAAATGTGTATTGTCATTGTGGATTAGTGTGAAGTGAAATATTTTAATTTTAGTTGTGATGTGTGATTTAGGTGTGACGTTTTTAGTTGTAGTGTGTGGGTGTCAATTGTGTATTGTCATTGTGAATTAGTTTGAAGTGTAATGTTTTTAGTTGATCGTTTGTTTGTATTGTGAATAAGTCGTTTGTAAGGTGCCGGTAATTGCTGTGATCTGTTCAGGGGGGTTTGTTCCAAGTTGGTATACCAACTTTCTAATGTAAGCCCAACATTGACTGGGACTCGGCAAAGTGCATCACTTACAGTACTGACTATAGACAACGGCTTACATTAGAAAGTTGGTATACCAACTTGGAACAAACCCCCCTGAACAGATCACAGCAATTACCGGCACCTTACAAACGACTTATTCACAATACAAACAAACGATCAACTAAAAACATTACACTTCAAACTAATTCACAATGACAATACACAATTGACACCCACACACTACAACTAAAAACGTCACACCTAAATCACACATCACAACTAAAATTAAAATATTTCACTTCACACTAATCCACAATGACAATACACATTTCCTGCACATTTCCTGTACACACAATACAATGACGTAAGAACCAGACAACAAATACGGCTAACCTGACGTTTACTCCTCATTTGACTCTGAAGATGACTACCGCTAAGGTTGTCGAAACGTCAGTCAACAACATCAAAAACAGTCCTTCTCAGGACTTTATTAACCTGGACGATCATCATTTACAAATATATTGTCCTTTCTTGATCATTGTTCGGAGGACTTGATTATCCATTCTTGATCATTTGTCCGAGGACTTTATTCCAGTATATTATTCATTCTTGATAAGGGTTTCTATACAATAAGATAATAGAAGAAAATGTCAGTTCACAATATACTGCCAGTTAAATTAATGTCAAAAATTAATAACGTAAAAAGTGCTTACTTTGAGGATTTTATTCAGACTTACGCATCTAATGGAATATAAAATTTCTACCAAAAGTACAAAATCTACAGCTGCATAGCATAAATTGTTCTTTTTATGTGTTGCTCAGCCTGAAGAGAATGATGAACGAAATCCACATCGATGCATATCTACCGTCGACAATAATCACTTTCTTTATAGTTATGCAAGTCCATCATCGTGGTGATTATAAACCACAGACATCATTGTTTGACAACCTTATTTGATGACGATTTTGTTTTTAACAGAGAAATATTCATGTCTAAAATCAAGAATGGAACGAAAATTAGTTTCTAAATCTAAGGTGTCATACTTTACATGAATAAAGATCACAGTGTCGCTCACATTTACCACTTCAATAGAAGAAAGATACTCTGTTAAAACCAACATTTATGACACACATTTACCTCAATGAAGTTGATTTCAATAAACTCAAGGAGATATTTCACAGATAAAGGGTTTTGACTTCTTTTATCGTTTCTTTCTGCACGTACGGTTGTACAGACTCTTATGTCTGGTTGTGTTAGATCACGATTCTAATCCTGCTGGTGCCTTAATTCCTTTCTTGTTCAAGAAGTTACATTCTATTTCAAGGAGCAGAAAAGCTTTCATGTTAGTAACTGAGATATGCTGAATGTATAACTTGCAATTCTTTATGCACCCATGGGCTTAGCAATAGCATATAATGATAGGCATTGAAATAATCACAAAAGGTCAATTTATGAAGGTCTTACTTTCTACTACGTCCTGTAAAATTAGCTTTATAATTAGCATTCATTGTGTAACGAGTATTTCAGTGGCACTTCACATTCTCGTATATTTCACATACGAGGAAAACTCATAGAGTTAGTGTAATTCAAACAATTGTTGGATAGACTGCAGTTTAGCGGACGCCCAAAGCG